CACAACTCTGCTCTCGCTGCACCACCTGCTCCCGCTGCTCCCCCTGCACCACCTGCTCCCGCTGCACCACCTGCACCACCTGCTCCCGCTGCACCACCTGCTCCCGCTGCACCACCTGCACCACCTGCTCCCGCTGCACCACCTGCTCCCGCTGCACCACCTGCTCCCGCTGCACCACCTGCTCCCGCTGCACCACCTGCACCACCTGCTCCCGCTGCACTACCTGCACCACCTGCTCCCGCTGCACTATCTGCACTACCTGCAGGTTTACAAGGCCCCTGAGCTGCACACCCTGAGGCCTCTTTCACCAGTTTGTTGAACTGTTCTTCGGCACTCTTACATGCACTCTTCTGTAAGTTCTTATGGATGATCTTCTCCATTTCGTCGGAATACAATTGATGATATTTCCACTTGTAGTATGGCTTTCCGCAGCAGGAGCAGAAGCGGAAGCAGTTGAGTAACCATGTAATTCCTACTACAACTAGTAACAAAGAGATGCCTATTATCTGGAAGGGGCAAAACACGTGTTAAAAAAAGTACTTGGAATTTTTTAATATAAAATCATATAAATTTCCAGCGCAACAGGAGACTTTATCACACAGAATTTGTACTTATTACACAGAAGGCCATTGAGTCCTTATAATATTATATAAACCTATAATATCAGCATAATGTTCCAAAACATCTCAAAGTACTTCAAAGTTTCTGTAAACTTGGATTCATAGTACCATTGAATCTTCCAGTGAATCTCCACAATATCTTACAGCGCATTATCGCAATTTGGCGGCGTCTCGAAGCGCTTCACAGGATACACTGTGACGTGAATTGACTATAATTTGTGGGCGAAATACCTTCACTTTTGAGAAGGGAGGGGTATAAAGGGATATATTTTTGCAAAAAGATTTACTGGATATTTAGTATTTCAAGTAGTGAAGAGTGTTGGGGGGGGGGGGGGGGCAGAGATGGACCTAACAAAAAGTGGGCTTTGATTTGAAGGACTTTTCTGGGATCAACAATTCATAACCCATTCTGTGCCCTGCTACTACATCCATTCCATGCACAAGAGTCCAATCGCGATGGGAGATTGACAACAGCAATGGTATTAATTGTAGATTGATCTGATTTGTATTCACACACACACACACAAGAAAACTGTCCTACCCTGGATACAGTTTCCGAAATGAGCTGTTTTCCTTCTTCACCTTGGCCGAAGTCCTTGGTGTTGTTGATTTTGAAAGTGTCATTTTGAGAACTTTGCAAACAACTGTAGCAGCTGCCGTCCAGAAAGACCACAATTATCCACACCATGCCATAGTAGCAGACCTTGCATATACTTGTCAAGAGGTGAAGGCAGCGTTCGCATAACCTCGAAGAGCAACGGCAATTATTTTCCTGACTACATTTACAATAACAGCAATAACTACTCAGACGGCAATGTAAACAGTAATTGGAGCAACAGATCAGACAATCCTTTGTCAGGAGAGCAGTGAGTAAAATTAGTGCGAAACTTGGCCCAAGGAGGAACATATAACTATACCGCCTATTGTAATTAGGATCGTTGGGACATTTGAAGCCTATTTCCAAGAGCTCTTGCAAACCCCAGAACACCAAGACAACCAAAATGGAGCTGATAATATTAAAAAAGTGCTTCCCAGAAAAGGGCACCATTTGTTGCATTGCATGAAGCCAGTGGTGAGACATGTTTGGTGTGGTTCCTTGCTCCTCATCCATTGGTCTCAACAGTCATCAGATTTACCACTTCTTGTTTTTGCTGTTATTGTTTCTTCCTTTAAAGATCACTGGCCAAAGGCTGCTGATCTCACAGATGTTGGACCTTCAAGGCTCTTTAGCAACTTGTCCTCATGTATCCCCTTTCAGACGATGGATGAAGGTCTTGGAGAGCTTCACAAACATGCAACTGAGCGGGGAGGTTCGAACGCAGAGTTGAACGCTGTTGAGCAAAATCAGTCAAAGTGAAATAAATGTTCTTGGCAGGAACAGAAAGAACCAGATAAAAGGCTCACTCGGGACAAACCTTTCCCCAATGGATGGCTTAGCGTTTTTTAGTTTTGAGCCTTCAGTATGATGGATAACTCCAAACATCACCCAAGCGCATTTTGACTGATCACAATGTGCAAGTGTCAGTCGGCTCAGTGGAAGACAGCAACTCAGGTTTCATCTCAGGCCGACTCAGTTGTTCATGCTCCCCCATGCATAACCCCAAACATCACAAAGCGCTTCACAACGTTTCTTTCAAAGTTTCACAAAGTGTAGGAAGTAATCTGTATATTTGTAGGGAAAGAAAGAGAAATCAGCAAATGAGATTACACCTTGAGGAAGTAAGAAGAGGATAAACAAGCAGAAGTAAATCTAAGGTTTTGAAATGAGGTCGAAAAAATATAAGCTTTATTGCTTTTTCTTTACTGTAATATACAATTGTGGAAAACTACACATTTGTATGATTTATAAACATTCCTTACAATGATCACAATATTACACTTTTATAATTACAGTAACAATGCTTCCAGTTGGTTGAAACAACTATGTATTAGATTATAAATACTAAGCCTTTGACATCAAATTAAAATGTCTGAAATGCTCCCATCGGGAGGGATGCCAAGCTGGCAGAGATAGTGTGATGGCCTGCTCTATGTTTCCGCAATGCTTTTTGGATGAGACGATAAAGGAGTTGTGAGAGTGGCTCAGTGCTAAATGCCCTGCTATGTAAATGTGATACAAACTTTGGTTCCATACCTTCACTGCTCCACCAAAGCATTTTACTGTGTGTACTGAATATTTATGAGATTATCTACATTGAAGGAGCTTGAGGAAAATCCACATATTTAGTGAATGCTAAAGAAACAATTGAATTTGCTAACTATTCTTTGGAATCATGGAAGGTTGCTTTCTGTATAAAAACCATGAAATCTTCCTCTTCTATTCAAATTTTAAAAGTACACAGATTGTTATGGTCATGGTGAAGATCATGTTATATCAGAAATAATGAAACCCATATTTATTTATATATGCAATCCACTTTCAGATGATGTGTATAACTTCCCTGTCTTCATAAGTTTTTCTATATGAAATATAAAAAACTGCAGTTGTTCTGTAGTCGGGGCGCCCTCAAACAGATGTTCACACACACTTCTGCTGCTGAGAATGAATTTGTCTTTGCCATCTGTAACTAATACTATATATTTCTACTCAAAATACATAGCATGAATAGATTTGAGTTTGACCATGCAGAAATTATTGGAACAAGATAATTATCTTAACTGCGTGCTTTGGTAAGAAAGGTTTCTTTCTTTTGCTGTCATTACAAGTTGCATTATATATTATATAAGATCAAATTGCAACGAAATCTGGAAAGCATTTTACAAGCTACTATATTTTATAATAATAATAATAATCCTTGCATTTGATATAGCGCTTTTCACGTCGGGAGGATGTCCCAAAGCGCTTCACAGAACACACTGTAAAGTGAATTGACTGTATATTTGTGGGAGAACGCGGCAGCCAATTGCGCACAGCAATGTTCCACAAACAGTCGTAGATTGAAAATGACCAATTTATTATTGTTTTGTTAGTTTTTTGGAGGGATTATTATTAGGCTCTGTGTGGAGTAAGGAAACTTGCCCAAGGTTTCGCCCTGACCTGCCTGGAATTGAACTCAGGTCTCTCGCTTGCAAAGCGAGTGCTCTATCACTGAGCTACAGGACTCCACATTTTATTAAAATGTTGCAACTGCAATTACTAACGTTCACAGAATTCTTGCATACTCAAATGTTAATTATACCATTATTGATTTACATTATCGTTCAGCATTTATGTTGAAAAAAACAATATTTAATTTATTGTTACGATAGATTTCCAATTGTTATTGCAGACTAAGCTACTTCCACATAATACAGTCACATCACACTTTAAAGTATATCCTGTGAAGCTCTGTCAGACAGTGTAATAAGACGTTATATCCAATCGAAGGATTATTATTATTATATTAAACATGACAATTGGTTTTCACAAGGGAGAAATGGAGGTTTCCTCCTTGTAAAAACCAATTGCCATGTTTAACATAATAATAATAATCTTTGTAAGGAGGAAATGGAGGTTTCCTCCTGTTGCGAAAGGCGCTATCAATGCAAATTTGTATTGTATTTGTTGGTATTTAGGAAAGGTTTCCCTTTATAAACACCAAACTAATGAACAACCTGACAATCCCAAATGGGTGTAATCAAGGTTTACTGTAACATAAGCAAAATCATCAATACAAAATGTATCTTAAGCAATAATTAGAGAATCAAGACCATATTACCCGGTTCTCGGACTCTGGACAGTAGATGACACGGCACCTGAAGCTGTTTCTCCTCTACTTCTCAAACTACTGTTATTACTTCTCTGCCGAGCAAACAGAACCGAATGCATATCACCCACCACTCCTCCTCTTTCCCTTTTAATGGTCACTTTGTTATAGGAGCTAAATTCCCTCACGCCTGTACATATACATAGATATAATGGAATTGATATCGATTCCACTGGGAAGTGTGCTTCCCCTCTACACAACTCCGAACTATTTCAAAGTTACTTCCTTTATGTGTTTCTAACCCCGTTCACAGAGATAGCCTCCACCTTTCGCAGGATGTTTTGCACAATGAGAGTCGTGGACAACCTCTTGGCAGCCTTCGACAGCTGCATGCTTTGGTAAGAAAGGTTTCTTTCTTTTGCTGTCATTACAAGTTGCAGCTTTACATTTTATTTTTAAATCCCCACCAGTGTCAGTTTATATATTGACCACAGAAAGCCCTGCTCTATTGCTGACAGCCACGTATTAGCAACATATTACATTCGATATAGCGCCTTATCAAGTCTTTGAGCCATCTCCAAGAGCTTCACAGAATATACTGTAAAGTGGATTGACCTTATATCTTGTGGGTGAAATACGGTAGCGAGCTGCGCACAGCAGTGTCCCGCCAACAGTCGTGGATTGAGTGACCAATTTTTTTAATATATATAACCAAAATGTATATCTTATTAAATGATGGGGATTTTATAGTTTTCATATTGTATCTTTATTCCTTTTATTGTCAAGAGACTGAATTTTGTCCAAAACTGACTACAGCCTGAAATGTGCAGCATTACCTCAAACCTTTTAGTCTGGTGTTGCTTTAGCCATTGGGCAACTGCACTAATCTGGTCTCAGAAATTCCATATACTAAACCCAAATTACTCTCCCGAGCCTCAATGTCATAAATCAAGACTGAGATTTATGACATCAGTGACTTTGCTGCCATAGCATGATAATAGCACTATTATGGCTTCAACAGAGTTAATCACAGAAAGTGTCATCTCAGGTTTACTAAGTTGTGATGGTTCTTAAAGCATTGAGAAGTGCTGCTGCAGTTGTTTGATTAGTTGACGTGTGTTGACATGTTCTGGAAATGCAGCTGCTGATTTCTGAGCTGCTACGTAACTGCTCTGAAGGTCTCCAACCTGAAAGATGTAAAGATGTAAAGAAAGAAAATCACATTTTTATAGTGCCTTATTACACAGAAACCTCTCAAAGTGGGTCACAAGTAATTACTGTGAAGTGTGTGTTGACTGTTTGTATAGGCGGAGGTAGCTGCCATTTGCACCGGCTGTGAGGAATATATTGGAAGACTGTTGAGTAGAATCCTGGGTGAAACTACCTTCTCCCTTTGACTCGTGGCATCCATTTAACAGGATGGTTAGGCAATCAATTGGAACTATCAAGTAGATGAGGAAAAATAGCTGGGGAAAAATTTCAGTGAGTGCTATGTACCGCACCTTTGACAATGTCAGCCACTAATGGGATTTCCTATTATAGTCGTGCATGGCAATGGCCAAAGACAATATTGGTTAAAATAAATCAAAATTGGAAATATTCCCATTTAAAAAAATCTTTTTTTGTCATTTTTTTTAAACGATTACCTTTTTTAAATGATTACCTTATCTGAAAGTGCAGCAAAGTTATAATGTGGCTCGTACATGTGAGGAGCTAAAGATGCAGCTGTTTGCAGGAATCCCTTGGCCTGAAGAAAAAAAAATTAGATTTACAAGATCATAGAATCACAGAATCCTACGCGACAGAAAGGGGCCATTTGGCCCATCATACCTGTGCCGGCTCTTTGAAAGAGCTATCCAACTAGTCCCATTCCTCGCTATTACCCCATAGCCCGGCAGATATTTCCTTTTCAAGTACACATCCAATTTCCTTTTGAAAGTTAAAGATCAATCTGGGCAACTTGTTTTAGATCAACATGGAATATTATTTTCAATGATAAATACGAGAAGCTGATGAGAAGCTGATTGACTGCCCACCTGTTCATGATGCCCTTTGCGCATCTCAAGCACAGCTAAATTGTTATAAGCTTCTGCGTGGTCATTGTTGTTAGCTAGTGCCAGTTTAAAACACTGGTAGGCCAAAGTCATATCTCCTATTCCCTAAGGAAAGTCAGAATGATGTTCAGTTACAATTCATATATATATAATATAAAGCAAAGCTCTATAAAATTAATAACTCACATAATAAAAAGACAGATAATCAATATTTTCCCATACATTAACTCAGAAACCAATTTGGACCCATTTTCGTGCCAAATTATCCATTAGCTTTCAAGGTACCACAGGGAGGCTACTTTAAATAAGGCAACAGCATATTTGATTTCATGTGGTCTAAGTTTATTATTTAAATTCACGGCTTTTGAATGTGGATTCATTAAGAACAGGCTGAGACTGTCCAAACGTTCATGTCATTTTCAATACTTATACAGGAGACATTCATCCAATTATGCACTGCTGGATTCAAACCCAGATTCCAGAGGTTAAAACAGCATTAATCTGCCTCACCGCAGTATCATGATTCCTTTCAATAATCACAGTATGGATGAGGGGAAAATATTTAGATAAATAATTCTTGTAAGCCATTTAAATTGTTTGAATACATATTTGAGCAATAGGGATTCCCTACTACAAGGTGAGAAAATCATGAAAATACTGCTCGCTGTAAACTAAATTAATTGAGAATTGGTGAGTAGTCCTCATAATGTATTTGCATGTTTTAAAATGAAAATGAAGTATGTTTGCAAATCACAATCCTAGAAAGACCAAATCAATAATATTCCCATATTCTAAGGTCATGTAGAAATTCATATTAATTGATATTAAATCACCTGGTTACATTTTATATAATATCCATAACTCAAATATAGCCTCTTTTCTTTTACTTCCATGTCCATAGATGCCAGTTTTTCTGAATTGTTGCCATTCACAGACGTCCTTCTTTTAATAACTGTAAATAATAATAATCCTTGCATTTGATACAGCGCCTTATCAGATCTTCTAGATGTCTCAAAGCGCTTCACAGGACACACTGTAAAGTGTAGTGATTGTCTATTTATGGGCAAAACGCGGCAGCCAATTACGCACAGTAAAGACAGAATATCATCACAGTTGTGAGTTCAGTACATACCACCGCTATGTGCCCAAGGTTGTACCACACATCTGCCACCTCCTCATCATTCACAGCCAGTGAAAGTGCTCTTTCAAATGAACTCAGAGTCAAATCATACTGCTGGGCGTAAAAGCAGCAGAGCCCTAGGTTGTTGAAGAGCTGACAATTATAGACACCCATCTGGAGGAGTCGCCTGAGGAGGAAAACTCCTTTTNAACATCATAATAAAATATACTTAATCTAAAATGCTTCTGAAACAAAATTGGATCATTGCATTTTTGCTAAACACAATATTAGTTTTGAAATGTTGTGCACTGATGTTTTTGTTCATTCAGATTTATCATCAAGAACACTTAACATAATGTCACATACAAATCTGCCTTTTCTGCTTTCTCAGTCTCTGGGTTACACACCAATTCTGTTAGAGGGAGTGAGCTATGTATTCTCAGGTCTCATCCAATCCCAATCTCATGGATCGCAAGCTTTACAAGAACTACTAAAGGTGAATCTTTCTGTTTTTGGTGCTTCCCCATAATGCCATGACTTAGATCAGTAACTCACATGCAGGAAATCAAAGGCAGAGGCACACTTTCTACCACGTTGTGATATGCTTACAAGTGTTTAAAACATTGAAGATTGCACATCAATACAAGTCAAAATGCACATGAAGCTTTTTTTATCCATCAAACATCTTGTATCAGTTTAAATTAAGTTTTATTTCCATAGAAGGGTTACAAAAATGCAACCCAAACAGTTACAAAACCTTCATTGTCATGCATTAAGTTTCACATATACAATGGAGGATTAAAATAAGACCTAAATACAGAGAAAATAATCCTAAGCATTAAAGCTTTCTTTAAATCTGAAATAAAACCATACTGAAAAATGCTTAAACAGACCTTTAATGCTGCCCGTAAGGCAACCTAATCAGACATGTTCTTCTGATCAGAAACATGGAATATTTTGACAGGGGATAATTTAATCATACCAAATCAAACTTTTGAATATTTTGGGATTTATATTCAGACTGGAAGATTTTGTTTTCAGCCTGCACGATGATGGAATAAAAGAAAAATAATTTGGTATAACTTTATATGCTCATTATTTATTAAAAACATATTAAAAACTTACACTCACTTTAATCTAATCAAAGCATGGTTTAACATTTAATAGGCCTATTCTGTGAACAAGCACTGAGCAATCGAATGATTGATCACATCCATTTCAATTCTGGCGACTCTCTTTGAGTGATTAAAAGTGACAGGAAAATCCAAAATGCTTGCGAACACTGATTCACAATGCATCGACCAAATTAATTGCTCTTCATTTAAGAGGCTGGAAAGGGAGCATTTATTGATGGGACAGTTTGATCATTGGTGTGATTGTGACTTTGCCTTTGACCGTTGTCCATGCATAGGCTGTTGTCTGCAGGAGTGCAAATCTTAGCCCATTTTTTTCTCATTCTTGAGACCATTTACTGTCCCACCTGTGATTTACTAACTTGGCAGAGACCATGGAATGGAAACTGGAACTTGCATGCCATTTCAAGGCGTAACTAATTTCAAAAAGAAATGAATCAGGGAAGTCCCAGTTGGAAATACACGCAACAATTATTGGCACAGCGAGGGATGAGGCAATTCTAGCCTGCAAAACTTTTAAAACAGATCCTCTTAATTTCCTTCTTGGAAAACATAACACTTATGGATGAACCTAAAAAAGGAAATGAAACAAATGAGACGTGGAAATTTAACCGTCTTTCTTATCGAGTTTTACCAGTTCACTGTAAAATCTCAGCTGGTGCCCAATATTCAGGTTGAGCTGTAGTTTCTTTTATATGAGAAAAGGTAAATAGAATGTGGATCAGCAAATATAATTTTAACCAAACCAAACAAAATAATATAAAAAGTGATTTATTTATTTAATTTATTTATGCAAGATGCAACAATCTTACCTATAGAACCGTAGTGCAATCTCTGGTTGGTCTGAATAAAAATGATTACTCCCTATGCAGGCAATGGCTTCTACATTGGTGTTATCTTGTTTTAAAACATCCTTGTAATATTCAGTGGCTGAAACAATGTCATTCATTTCCTATTGGATTCAAAAGAATATAAGTTCATTGTGGTTATACTATGGCAAAATCCTAAACTACCATAATCAACCACTTTCCACAAATTGAAAGGATTTTCTAAGATAATAATACTAATATCTTGTTAGAGAACATGCAAAATCAGGCGCCAAACATACATCGTGTATACGAGCTATTCCTGTGAGCAGAGTAACCTCTCCTGGGAAATGGTCCAGTCCTTCCTTCAAAAGCACGAGCACAGTCAATGGCTGGTCCAAACGAATGTAGACCTGCGCAACCAAATCAATAGTAAATTGACATATCATTTTGTTTATTCCGTAGCTCACATCAGAAGCGTTCCAGTAATCAAAACACATTTACACTGTTATGTACTGCTTTTAGCAAAGCCACTTTCCTTCCAGCAGAAGAGCTATACGGAGAGGGAAACACATTTACAGTTTCTGTTTCGCATTATATTGAGTGCCGTTGGCCACCCAGTCACAGGGGAAAAGTGTAGTTAGAGGACTGGACAGGAGGTGGAATAGATAATTATCCCAGAAGTGGACTCAACGGGTCTCTGGGCCTTTTTCCACCTTTTCCTTTCCGTGTATCTATGTATCTGTAAAACGAATTCACTTTTTAATGCTATTGAGAGCTGGGAGTATGATCCAGTCCAGTCTTCAATAACATTAAAAGAGCAATCCTTTAAAAGTTCTCAGGCTGTCCAACAAACTGCTCAGGAGATGTGAACAGAGCATGGGGGGCAATTTTCTACTAAACATCCAATGATATATTAATAGCACACACTGCAAAGTCTTTTCTTCTGTAATCCATAAAGCTACTTACCTTCGAGAGATAAAGGAATATATCGACCATTTCCTGTTGTTTGAGAGCAGATTTAAACTGTTTCTCTGCTTCCCGATGTAAACCCAACCTTCAAGAAAAGAAGTCAAACCACATAAGGCATTACTTGTTTTAAAAACTGCAATGTTTGTTGTGGTGTTGCAATCATAACATTCTACACAACTGTGTCCAAAATGCTAATACAGTATTTCTAGATTGAAACTGTCATTCACAGTTAAGTCTTCACCTGTAATAACATTTTCCAAGCTGCACCTTCCACCACCAGTCTTTAAACTGAGAATGCTCAGTAGCAAGAGCGGCTAAATCTAAAGCCTGTTAGAAAAAACAAGAAGTTAAGGTTCTTACTGAAAAGTTTTATGGAGCTAAAACTCAGGAAATATTGATGAAACAAACTTACACTCTTTACATCGTTTTCATGATGGAAGATATATTCAAAAAGTGTCTGAAAAAGAACCAAATCTATGAATGTGCAATATTTTCAAATCCAACAGTTTTGGTATTTGGTTGAGGTGTATTTTGGTAACACAAAGTTTATCGTTATTTGCTTTAGTAGACAATAATATTTTCGCCCCTTACTCCTGAAGATGCTCGGCCCAAATTCCACCTAGTCCCAGCCTGTAAGACCGATTTGTCTTAAAATGGAAGGTTGCATAAATTCTGGAATAGTCCTAAATTCAGCCGTTTTAAGAACTGTGGAAAACATTCTTCGAAATTAAAATGGAAGCTAATAACTTTGCACAATTCTGGGTGATATTTAAATTTTAAGACAATATTATTTACAGTACTCTTTTACAATATTCTTTTACAAGGAGCAATTTTGGTCTTAATGAGATTTCCCCCACCCCACTAAGAATTTTGAAGAACAAAAACATGACGAACCATCCACTTTGCTACTTATTATTAACAATAATAAAACATGCCACAGCAGGTAATCTTTGTCCAATTAGATTTATTAATGCTATGTTTTATTTTCAGAACACACAATACTCATGATTCTGTATTCAGAGTTTGATACTAACCTTAGCTAAGTAGGGTTTTCCAGCATATTTGGATATATTTAGTCTGGACAAATGAATAAATGGTCCATCAGGGTTAGTAAGCATCGAGGCCTATAAGGGCGAGAAACAAGAATTAATTTGCATTGATTGCATTCTTTGATTATAAAACAGTTAACCGTATAGAGCCTTCACGTTAAAAAAATGATAAACAAAAAAGGTGTGTTTGCACAAGGCATACCGTTCCCAGCCTAACGTATCTTCCAGAAGCACTTGTAACTGGCCGGGCTGTGGAGGCTGTTCTTGGGGTCTTGATGGCTTGCTCCATAGTGCCAGGTCTGCCAGAGCTAGTGCCTGGTCTAACAAACCCACTGATGGGTCGCCCGGCCTGAGACATGGGCCTATACATAAGCATAGAAAAAAAATCTTATTACTCAGTAAAAAAAATATATTTTGCTCAACTCCCACCAGAGTTGCAACCTGATGAAAGGGCTAACAAAAAATGTCAATTGTGTCGATTGGTGAAGTTATGTTTGAGTATTATCGATATGGGAAAAAACCCACAACAGAAATCATTTTTTACTTCCAGTTTGAATAAGTAACTACAACAATAACAACAAATTACATTTGTATAGTGTCTTTTATGTCAGGGTGGAGGGCAGGTTGGGTAGGGGTAGGAGGGTGGACAAACAACTTATTTACTTACAAATAAGTAAGTTATTTCCCACCTTTCCTCAGGACAGAGAATCAAGTTTAGATAAAATTCCATGGGCATACGTTGATCGTGTGGCTATTTGTCATGTGTAAGTTTTTATGATGATTGCTGGCAGAGGATTCAAGATCCTCATCCTCACCTACAAGGCCATTCACGGCCTTGCTCCCTCCTACCTCTCCGACCTACTATCCCCCTACCTACCTGCCCGTATCCTCCGTTCCTCTGGCTCCAGTCTGCTCCACATTCCCCGCCCCAACCGCCCTACCATCGGTGGCCGGGCCTTCAGCCTCTCAGCCCTGAGGCTCTGGTACTCCATCCCCCAGTGCCTTCGCCGCTTCCTCCCTTTCCTCCTTCAAGGCCGGTCTCAAGACCTTTCTCTTTGACCGTGCCTTGAGCTCCCCTCTCGACTCTCTACCCCCTCCTCGCTCCCTCCCTTCCCTCCCCTCACCCTGACCATTTCTCCCCCTGCTCGGGTCCTGACCCAACTGTACAGCGCCTTGGGACGTCCTCCCGACGTGAAAGGCGCTCAATAAATGGAATCTTGTTGTTGTTGTCCAAGTGTGGGAATTAGGACAGAGCCAATTATCCGAAGAAGGAAGCCTAGCTCTCCCAATCCCTCATGGCCACTAAAGCGAACTGCATTGTCCCACACCTTAGCTGAGATTGGTTAGCTTGGGACAAACAATACATCAAATCTGGAATTTCCCTGCTTTGTACATGTCATCACACACTGGATTTATTCACTGAGCTAAAGGGGAACTAATTAAAGTTATTAATACCTGACAGCTGGGCTAGGACCTCCTGCTTGACTTGTTGTTGGATGTTTTAGAGATGTTCCGGGTCCTGCAGACAGAGATAAGCTTTCGTGTTTATGATGTTATCTAATTCAAAATTTAATAAATAAAAAAAAACTGAGAATGCTGGAAAACTGAACTGCAGACAGAAACACTAGCAATTTAAGTCAATCCGCATCTAAACGCAAATAGGTTCATATTCCAAGCAGGATCCTCAATCATTAGCTTTGAAAAAACTCCACTTTTGTCTGGATTTTCCCTAGTCCTCTTATCCAGTTCCCCTTTGTCTTTTGTTCCTTCCTTCCCATGTACTTGCTAAAACCTCTATTAATGAACATTTTTTCCCCCAGTTCCTTCCTTAATCGCATAATTGCTTATCATGGACTCCCGCTTCATTCAAAACCTGAGTTCAATTCCAGGCAGAGGGCGAAACCTTGGGCAAGTTTCCTTACTCCACACAGAGCCTAATAATAATCCCTCCAAAAAAACCAAAAACAATAATAAATTGGTAATTTTCAATCTATGACTGTTTGTGGGACATTGCTGTGCGCAATTGGCTGCCGCGTTCGCCCACAAATATACAGTCAATTCACTTTACAGTGTGTTCTGTGAAACGCTTTGGGACGTCCTCCCGACGTGAAAAGCGCTATATCAAATGCAAGGATTATTATTATTATAAAATCCAAATAATATACAGGATGTTCACAAAGTCCTGCTGCCACCCGATTTTTTCTTACAATTAATTTTATTTTCTGCTGCAATGTAGCAATGTCTGATACCAGTAACTTCCTCGTCACTCTATCAATGTTACACGGCGTCACACCAAACAGGGCGACAGATCATAATCTGCCAAAATAATCATGGCGCTTACACTGATCCTCTGGATGTCTAAATGCATTTGAACACTTGTACTAAATACAATTAAGTACTTCTAAATACAATTATCATCATTCTTTCCACATGTTTCAATTGTTGGTCAGTGCACTGTTGAAAAATGATTAAAACAATTCTAATAATAACTGATTTGTGATATCAGTGGTCACTAGCAATGTTAAAGGATGAATGATTTTCAGTAAACTAGCATCAAAATGTATCAGACAACCATAAGAAATCTCCAAACATTTCTCAACATCTGAAAGACAGTGTTGAATTGAACATGTATTACTTACATAAGGGGAACACTAATTGCTAGCTTAGAAGTTTTCCTAAACCATGAAGCATGTTCAAAGCATCTATATTTTTAGATGTCATTTCATTAGCTAAATTAAATTAGATTTATTTCAATTGGGCAACAGAATCTCTATTAAAGAAAAACATAATTTGAGATGGTAAAATGTATCTGATGTATTAAAAAGTGCTTACGGGCAATCTGTGCAATAGCATTGTCATCCAAAATCACTTCCGCTATTCCTTCTTGATCTATATCTACTTCATCCACATATACCATCTCTGTCAAGGCTCGAGTCTTCAAGCTCCATGCAGCCTACGGAATGGGTAAGCATAAGTATCAAAAGTCAGGGATGGTTATCAAAGGCACAGTTAAAGAGGAGGGTCTTGAGATGGGTCTTGAAGCAGGCAAGGGAGGGGGCGAGGCGGAGAGACCTGCGGGATGGAGTTCCAGAGGGTGGGGGCAGAGTGGCTGAATGCCCATCTGCCAGTGGTGGGGCAGGCAAGGCAGGGGACGTGAAGCAGGCCAGAGCCCACTTCCTCCATAATTTTCTGGTGCCTAACTTAAAAGAAAGTAGTATTTTTATGGTGTGTGAAATACATTGCTCCCAGAATGTTCATTTGCATGCATTAAAATTTTTACTGTATCAATATAAATTTTTAATGTATGCAACAATCTGTTCAGTCGCACTAAAGTTTGTCGTAATGATAAAGTATATGCCGGGAAACAAATCATGCCCATTCGAACATTTATTCCAAATTGTACCCTTTCTTCCTCTGGAAATCTATTTGTCCTTGGCTCAGATTCTGTTTCTATTTCATTTTCTATCCTCCTGCTGCAATTTGCAGTTCCTCACTACTTTTATACATTTTAAAGAGAACCAAACACTAGATAAGAAAAATAGGGATCAGATGGTGGGGTACAAGGAATTCTAATTTTTAAATACTATTTATTTTAATCTGGAATAAATGTAATCAAAAAGTATGTAGACACAGGGTGACAAGAGAAGGACTGACTTAAACTAGAATTTATCCTTTACCTCAGAAATAAAGGCTTTAGATGCAGTATCCTTGGAAAGCATGGAGAAGAAAATTAAACAAAAATAACAAAAAAGCTTAACAGAAAGTTGTCTGACATAGCAAATGAGCGTATCCATTATCTTATATCATAGCAGCTTCACTTACAGCAAATGGGGGGGGGGGGGGGGACACACGGGAGGACATGCTTACTGTTGTTTTAATTAACTTAATAGCTCCTTTGTAATTGCGACTAGTAAGCTGATAAATGTTTTTTATGTTACATTTCGTCAAAATAAAAATTAAGACCCTGGTTTGAAAAAGAAAGTAAAACAACTAGAAGCCATGTAAAACCATATGTCTACAATATATTGATTGTTGTTTAAATCAATAAATGTAATCCTCACACACAGAAAACTGACGAAAACACATCAGCTATCTTAAAGTATTCAGTTATGTAATATATAGATAATGAACAACATAGGATCTGTTTCACGTGTGCCCTTTAAACACTTATTTGGTTATAATCATAATAATCCTTGCATTTGATATAGCGCTTTTCACGTCGGGAGGACGTCCCAAAGCGCTTCACAGAACACACTGTAAAGTGAATTGACTGTATATTTGTGGGCGAACGCGGCAGCCAATTGCGCACAGCAATGTCCCACAAACAGTCGTGGATTAAAAATGACCAATTTATTATTGTTTTTGGTTTTTGGAGGGATTATTATTAGGTTCTGTGTGGAGTAAGGATACTTGCCCAAGGTTTAGCCCCCTGCCGGGAATTGAACTCAGGACTCTCGCTTGCAAAGCGAGTGCTCTAACCACTGAGCTGCAGGACTCCACGAGGTTTGGCCAAGAAGCACCGAAGCCCATTGCTGGGGGGTTAAGATGTTGAGTTCTCCAATTACTAATATTGTCGGTGTAACAAGATACACATTCTCATCATGTTGATAAACATGCAGCCAAATGTGTTCAAAGCACTTTGTTGCTGCACAGGGTGATTTATACCCGAGTGGGTTCAACCACGAGCAGAAGTTTTGTTTCCCCCCCACGAAATGCTGAAATCTAAGCAAACGGAAGGTTGTAATTAATTTCTATTGATATCATATTAATCTTAAACCTGAGCAAAGTCGGTTTGCGGGTGGATGGCTCGAGAACGACCCGGCTGCTCCTCCTACAAGTGGGGGTAGCAGTAATAATAATAATCCTTGCATTTGATATAGCGCTTTTCACGTCGGGAGGACGTCCCAAAGCGCTTCACAGAACACACTGTAAAGTGAATTGACTGTATATTTGTGGGCGAACGCGGCAGCCAATTGCGCACAGCGATGTCCCACAAACAGTCGTAGATTGAAAATGACCAATTTATTATTGTTTTTGGTTTTGGAGGGATTATTATTAGGCTCTGTGTGGAGTAAGGAAACTTGCCCAAGGTTTCGCCCTCTGCCGGGAATTGAACTCAGGTCTCTCACTTGCAAAGCGAGTGCTCTAACCACTGAGCTACAAGACAGGGGCGCACACTGTGGGGTGGAGGGGGGGGGGGGGGGGGGGGAGACGAGGGTCGGGGCTCGGGGTTGGGGGGGTCGTTGCTGAGCTGATTTTAAAACGCCGCCCGGCGGGAGCAGGCGGCGGTGTCACCGTTATCCCACACAAAACAGCGCACGACCGCGTTGAGATGGGCTTCGATTTCACCACCGGTTCGTGTGCGAGGAGTTGGCCGAGCGATCGTCGCACTGACAGTGGGTGGAACAACAGGGAACATCTGAACGGGTTTTTATTTTGAGGGGGAGAGGTTTTGGGGTTTGATGTCGAACCATTTGACCTTAAATTAAATTAATCCCCTCCCCCCCCCCCACACACACACACACACACAGGGCTTGATGTTACCTGGTCGTACGGATTTTTCTCGAGCAGCGCGGTACAGATTTCAGCGCACAACTGGAACTTGCGCCGCCTGAAATAGCTGCAGGCCATGAACAAGGGATCCATGTCCCCCGAGCAGGGCTTAGTGCGGGATAGCGAGGAGGGAATTTTTTGGGGGAAGAAGGGGGGAATTAGGGTTCAACACAGTATTCCCACAGCGTCGGCTCCGTCACCCCGAGCAACGCACCGAGGTCGGGGGGGGCGGGGCGGGGGGGGGGTCCTACTCCAGCCACCAGCTGCCTCTTCAAGCGCCTGACGCGAATCCGCCGCCGGAATTTTACGGTAAAATCAATCTATCGATTTTTTTTAAATCTCTTATAATTAAAAAAAATTTTTTTTTTTTTCGGTACGACTCTCGGCCTTTTTTTTTTCGTGTGGGGTGGGGGGTTTTTTCTTTTTAAAAAAAAGGAAAGACGCCAGGCAGGGAAAGGGACCGCTAACCGCCAAGCCCCCGCCCGCGACCTTGAGCGTCTTCTTCCTCTTCGTCGTCTTCGCCTTCGGCGCCTCCGCCCGGAGCTGAGGATTGCGACGGTCGTCATTCGCAATGTGTAGTTTATTTGCGGGTTTTATTTGCACTCTCTTGCGCTCGGCGGTGCTTTTATTTTTCTTCTTTGCATTGCTTTCAGAACATCTCCAGTCGCCTTCTTGGCGCTGTGTTACACGTGTATATCTATGGTAGTCCTGGCATTTGAGACGTTAAGCGCCTCAGACGTCTCCCAAAGAGTTTCACAGAATACACCGTAAAGTCGATTGATTGTACATAAATTGCCTGCCTTGACTTGAAGTGGAATCGCACGTTAAAGCTGTGAATGTTTAGTGGTGGGCGCGGTGTATTCTCCTGTGTGGAAAGACTTGCATTTATGCTGAATTTGGCCTATTTTGGTTCTGCCTACCTCTTCGTTGCATTGCAAATGAAAGTGTAAACTTTGAAGTGAAGTGTGTGTGTGTGGGGGGAGGTTAAGGTGGAGTTTGACTGGAGCTTTTAATATATATATATACACAAATAAGTTAGCGACGACATTTAAATCAATGCAACCATTAGTTAATTGCTTCTGTCATTCGCCAGCTCCTGTTTCCGCGAGTGACAGGAGCGCGGATGAAGAGAGAGAGAGAGAGAGAGAAAACAAGACGCGACTAGGGTTTACAAATCAAAATACATTTGTAGCCCAAAACATAGCCCAATATGGTGGCTAGCAGAGTGTCCCGATTGGGTTAGTGCCTTTGAAACCGGGTAAGAAAAGCTCTTCAAAGGGTGGGAAATAAGACGTTTTGCAGGATAAAATAATAATAATCTTTGCATTTGATATAGCGCTTTTCACGTCGGGAGGACGTCCCAAAGCACTTCACAGAACACACTGTAAAGTGAATTGACTGTATATTTGTGGGCGAACACGGCAGCCAATTGCGCACAGCAATGTCCCACAAACAGTCGTAGATTGAAAATGACCAATTTATTATTGTTTTGGGGTTTTTTGGAGGGATTATTATTAGGCTCTGTGTGGAGTAAGGAAACTTGCCCAAGGTTTGGCCCTGACCTGCCGGGGATTGAACTCAGGTCTCTCACTTGCAAAGCGAATGCTCTAACCACTGAGCCACAGGACTCCAAAGGATGAAAATAAAAATGTTTTAAAAGATGAGACACCCGCCCATAGCATAGTTTTTCCTTCACGATGAAACCCCCCCCCTCCCCCGCCGCCCAATTGGGCGTGAACCCGCCCAATCCGGCAAAACCCCTTTCTTTCCCTGCAGCAGGTGCGCTTCATGACGTCGAAGCGCCGCACGTCGCGGCCCGTGGAGCCACGTGGGTGGGTTGCGAGGCGCGCGCGAGGAGCCGACGCCGTGCACGCATGCGCGCAGGTGTCTCCCATTCGGGGGGGTGGGGGTAAAAAAAAAACGGCTCAGCGCGCGACGCTGCGCGTAACGGTCGGGGCTCGGTTTGAATCCCGGGGGCTGGCAAGACAGCGCCTCGCGCAGCGCACGGTCCGCTCTCCCCTCTTCCCTCGCCCAGCAAAGCTGTGCGGTGGTGTCGGCGGGTTTTTTTTTGGAGAGGAGGAGGAGTGGGGTGGGGGGGGGGGAAAGGGACGGTGCCAAAAAAAAATGGGTGACAACTGTTGAATATTCGCGTGTTCCTGGACTGAGCCCATACAAAGAGAGAGAGATAGAGAGAGAGAGCGCCTTAAAGGCAGACCATAAAGGTCAGGGTAAAGGAGGGCAGAGTTACCCACGGGAGACGTCGAGTGGGCGACACGAGAGCGAGCGCGAGCTGCGGTTGACCGGGACAAGACATGGCTGACAGGACAGCGCCGAACTGTCACCTGAGGCTGGAGTGGGTCTACGGCTACCGAGGGCATCAGTGCCGCAACAACCTCTACTACACGGCGGCCAAGGAAATCGTCTATTTCGTTGCAGGTGTCGGAGTGGTGTACAACACACGGGAACACAAGCAGAAATTTTTCCTCGGTCACAGCGATGACATAATCAGGTAATTGGGTCATTGTTGGCGTGTTTTGTGCTTTGAATCACCAGTGGTGGACTGCGAGGACTCTTTGCAGAATGGATCCAATGGGGCGGGTGGGGGGGGGAATGACTTGACTCATCCATCCATCCATCGACGGAGTCGGTACGGCGTCCCGTTAATCTGGCCCGGTACACTGGAGAGATCAGATACGACCTCCGGAGCCCTTTATGAATCAGATTAGTTTTGCTTGACCTTTTAAATTGTAGGGCTTTCACCGGAGATCCCAATATCCTTTTAATCCGCGCTCCGCCGACGCCGGTCTGTTATGTTGCACTTGCAACCTTTAAAGTGTACGCTGTGGGATCTGATCTGTTCACCAAATCCGCGTTTGACTCCGCTCCTGCGCTGCAGGAAAGCCTAAAAGGATTAAAACGTTGAAATCATCTGAGATAAGGTCTGCGACAGGGGGGGGGTGGTCTCTGAATCCGTGTCTTTTCCCGCTAGCGTTGCCCCTGTCCCCATTCACACACACACACACGCACACACACACACAGTGTGTGCGTAATGGCTTTCGTAGCTTTCACTTTAAATTTGGATATCCAGTAACTCGTCTGAGAGCAGACAAGTATCAGCACGCGAAGGTGAATGTTCTTTGTCAGGTACAACTTTGCAGATAAATATTTCAAACATTTGCGTTGCCGACAGCTGGGAACGAGATTAATTTCTCAATGTAGATTCCCAATTAGTTTAATGGGGTCGGCACGCGCTGCAGATTGAGAGGTGCGTTTCGACATACACAACGTCTAAAACCCTTGGCATTCAGGCTGGCTACCTCCTCGTGTGTTTTAAGTAATTTCTGAACTACGTTGCGTTCTGTATAATCGTTAGTTTTTATGCTATAGATTTTAAAACTGAAGGTGAAATCGGGAGATATCCGGCTTTAAAATGCTATGCTCAAAGTATAGACAGCTTAGTTTGGTGAACACAAATCCAGGGGTCATTCAGACTTTGTTTGCATCAATGCAACATTTCTAGATCGGTTTAAGGTTAAAAAGGGAATGACTACCTGATTAATCATTGTGTTTCTCCTTTATCCTCTCTAAAGTTTCACATTACATGAATGTTTTTAAAAAATCATTCAGCGGAAAGCGGTTAATTGATTAATAAATAAGACATTTTAAAATGCAATGCGATTCATTAGAAAGTTTCATGTATTGTTTATCTAATGATCAAGGGGATCATTTTGAATTCTCTCGTACGTGGATCTCTTCATTTTTTGTATCACAGAGATGCTTTGAACTTTGAAAAGATAAATCCCGTAAACCGCTGTGGTACAGTGCTGCAACATTTTTCACCTTCGTTTGATTCAAAGTAGATATTTCTGCAGGAAAGTGAAGATTTCAGTTTAAATCATTTGCAGAACATCTTGCAACAGAACATTAAGTGCAATAGCTCCATCAAGGAATATTTTTGCAAACCGATTTTAACACTGGTTGCTGATTTTTGTAGAATTTATCATTTCTATTGATTTTTGTTCAATATGCAACTGGTGGTACATGATTTTTTTATAGAAAACTTAATATTAGTTGTGTGGATATACCTAAATTTTAGCTATTATCGACATGATATTGCCAGTTAATTGATAAAGGTACCGTAGTTTGTTTCTAAATGATTACTGTCAAAGTATTTATTTATTAGATTTTAAAATGATATAAGTGATTAAGTTTGTATTTTTTGATAGCTATAGAAAATGACTACAATTCACTCTCGCAATTATATGAGTTTATGATTATATCATATTTTTCTATTTATTGTATACACAAACTTAATTGTCAAAAAAAACTTTTTTAATACAACATGCAGCCAGTTTGGGTTTGTTGAGTTTACTAGCGAATTAAATAAAAATAATTATGATGCTCCATCCCAACTGCAGAGATGTTCCAGGTTTTAATACTGGCCAAATAATTAACTAATGGCAAAATAAGTTACTAATAGTTACCATTTGACCAAAAAGTTCCTCTTAAATTGAACATAGAGTATGGAACAAGAAAAGGCTCACTTAATGTTCTCAACCACTTTGAGAAATGTGAAAGATTTAGGAAGAATTTCTGGTGGAATCTTCCCGGATGAACATAATGAAAATTTTGCCAGACTAGAAATAGGCAAATTAAGTTACTGTAATCAAGAAAGGTGGATGAAGCTATTAGTGCAATGCTGAGAGCATTTCAGCTGCAGTTGATTCCTCTCCTACTTCCACATCCAAATTACTTTGAGCAGGGAAATTGATTTCCTTTCTCCTGATGATAATAATAATAACAATCCTTGCATTTGATATAGCGCCTTATCACGTCTTCGAGACGTCTCAAAGCACTTCATGAAATATACTGTGAATTGACTGTATATTTTGTGGGCAAATTGCGGTAAAGTAGGACTGACAAGTATTTGCCCCATTATCCTTAGTAGGAATGGAAACGCAGTGTTCTCGGCAACATTTTTTGGTATGAATGAAGTAAAACTATTATTTGCCTCTTATTTTGATTCAAGTGCATACAATCAACTTTTTCCTCTTTTTTGGCAGCAGTGCACTGAAACAAATCATTGCTAAGGGATAGGACAAACACATACATTATAAATGTTATAACCTTACAACTATCTTCTATGTTTGTGGCTCAGAGATTTGATTAAATAAAACACTCACTGAAAGCCGATGTCTTTGAAACCAATAACTCGAAAAGGAAAAGTTATTACAACAACAAAAACACTCTTTTCCCCACTATGTTCTGGGAATAAGAACTTACATGATTTAGCTAAGAAATCATCAAACCCTCCAAGCATGTCCTTCCAATCCAGGTTCATTTAAAGTTTTTTTTGATCTAATGCTTTTATAGAAAACTCCAGATGTGTGCCCTATATTATATTTCTTTTGAGTTGTCTCCAAAACGTTTTATGTTTGATGAAGTGCAATACAAGTACAAATTGCTGGAGCAGTGTTCATTACATTAAGCAATAAGGTGAGATGCAGTTGATCAAGTTCTCATTTTGTGTAATATTGAGGGATGACTTTCTTGTAATAGTACTCGTATACTGTATAGATTGTACACTAAATTTATATAATAAGGCTAAAGCAAGTCTGTTATTGTACTTTGGAGTGTTGCAGTAAAATGCCTTGCCAAAACGCAAAACGTCGTAGTGATGGATATCTCCTTTTTCATTAGCTAATGGAAAAGGATGTGCAATGATTACAGACTGAGCTCATGGGCCAAGGGTGATTTGAAGAATATATAGATCAAAGATATTGCTTGGATAACCTAAGGCATTTCCTGCTAACTGTGCATTTTCAGATGCTTCCACAGATGGCATAGGGACAATTGGTGACACAATGTTAATATGGCAAATGCATAAAGGTGTTGTGAAGTTGAAGGATCTCTATTTTGAAATGCAAAAGATTTTGAAAACAAACACATTAACAAGATGGCTTTCCTTCATAGTTGCTAAAACATACAAAATTGAACTTTGTGAAAGTTACTATTTTGGGAAGTTGCAATTTAACCACAAAAATATAAATTTCAGGAGTGTTAATCCAACAAAATACAAAAACAACAACAACTTGTATTTATATAGCGCCCTCCATTGCCGGCCGGCATCTCAGGGCGCTTAAATAGACCATAGTGTGCAGTTGCTACGTTGATCTTTGTTTCTGTAAAAAAACAAACTTTTTAAAACACGTTAGACCATATATCAGTCAGTTTATGGAAATTAATGCGGTTCTATAAATTAACTGCTATGGTATATATGCTTAGTTTATACAGGAATGTTTTCAGTGAATATTTGTTTTATCTGTAAAGTTAAGTCAAAATGAAGATCACAGGCTACTGAAAGGGAATGTAAGTAGTGGAGAGGGATGCATCTCCTTATTGGAAAAGATCTGTTGTCAGTATAATGAGAGGCAGAGAAAATTAGAGGCCTCTGAGTCATTTGCCTCAGTAGAAATCAATATGTTTCAGCTCCTAGATGTCATTTGCATAGCTGAAATATTTAGTACTGGCTGGGAACCAGTATTCTGTCATTGCCTTTTCTGGCAAAGAGACCAGATGGGGTGGATTTTCAAGAGACTGTTTGTGGATTTGAATGAACTTTTAATCTCCTTAAGAAATTCATTTATTTAATCTCTTTTATTTTCAAACTGTGGGTCTGAAGGGGAATTTTAGATTTCACATTCCCCTGTGATAATGTTCCTCTTTATACAGTTAGCAGAATTTAATGACTACAAATTGTTTGAATTAATTTTAATCTGCATTGTGCATAATCAACAGCTTGGCATTGCATCCAGAACGAACTTTAGTTGCAACAGGACAGGTTGGAAAGGAACCATGTATATGTATCTGGGACACCTACAATGTACAGACAGTATCCATTCTGAAAGATGTACACACGCATGGGATAGCTTGCTTGGCCTTTGATCTAGAAGGGCAGGTATGTACAATCATGCTATATGCAGTATAATGCATTTCTATTTAGTACAAGATTGCGCACAATCTAATATTTCTGTAGTACAGCTGATTGCCTGAACCTGAGTCTTAAATTTCTGTTAAGAGGATACATTTTTTTCATGCTATTTTTATGCAGTTTCCTTTTTGTGTCTTACATAATTGTGGCAAATATTTTTAGTGACCTGCCATCTAATCTTGTTGGTGTGTTTTTGAACCCGGTTGTTAGTAGAATGGCGGATCGCTTTTTCAGGGGTAATAAACCCTTTTTTTAAAAAAATTGGTCACTCAATCCACAACTTTTGTGGGACATTGCTGTGCACAATTGGCTGCCACGTTTCACAAAAATATACGGTCAATTGACTTTACAGTGTATTCTGTGAAGCGCTTTGAAACATCTCAAGATGTGATGAGTTAAATAAATGCAAGGATTATTAACAAAAATCAAAATAAATCTAGTAATACATTGAAACCCTTCTAGTATTCCATAGACATCAATGATTTATTGTTTTTAAAAGACAACTTGATCCTACTCCTCAGAAGAAAAATATCTTCGAAGTTCCTATTGATGATGTGATCTAACAAATTGCTTTACTATTGGATCACAGCCCTCCTGAATCTTGGTGCTGTATATTGTAGTTATTTCAGAGTGTGCAGTTATGTGAGGTATTGTGAGGAACCTTGGTGGGTGGGGGGGACGACTTACCATATGTGTTTTTCTATGAATATTTTTTCTATACTTTGTTTTTCTTAAACAAATTGTAGCTCAAGAGTTAGGAGTGTTATCCATCCAATGCAAGCTCAATTTTAGATGTGCTTTTTTTTCAAAATCTTGTTTCTTAATCATTTTGCTCTTTTCACAGAGATTAATGTCTGTTGGTCTGGATTCCAAAAATACTATTTGTGTCTGGGATTGGAGAAGAGGAAAGGTGCTAGCAACAACACCAGGACATTCTGATAGGGTATCTATCTTTTGCTCATTTGCATTCATCAAATATTATACATTAATATTCTAAATTACTTTTAATGTTTGGGAAGTTTGTGTTTTTGACATTTTTATAATTAACATGCCAAAATCCTTTAAATCGCGAAGGAATGCAAAATGCGACACTTCAGAAAGCAATTTCAGTGCAATAGAGTGTATTAAATTGTTTAAGGTATCAATTCTTGTAGAACTCATAAACTATCTCAAAGCAGAAATGTCCAGATTCTATTAATCATTGACAAATGGAAACATGATTTAAAATCATATCATGGATGTTAACAATTGTGTTGTTTTTCTTCTGATGTACTTTCTTACAGATATTTGACATTTCTTGGGACCTGCACCAACCAAATAAAATGGTCAGCTGTGGTGTAAAGCATATTAAGGTAATACTTATAAGCTATGTAGAATTTCAGATTCTTTTAATTTCTAAACATGTGTTTTTCATGAGACTTATGTTGATGACATTATAGTCATGAAGGTTGGTAGTGTCAAAAATGCAGTATTTGGCTGTAACTGAAGTAATTGTTATTTTAAAAATGTAAACACTGATTATAAAGAACAGAGTAATTTAAACTGGTTATACAAGAACCTAAAATACATGTAATTGAATAAATAAATCTGCATGTAGATAATGGTATATTAACTATATCTAGTAGATTAAAGTTAATTTCAAAATCTTTTTCTTCAGTTTTGGAGTTTATGTGGAAACGCGTTGACATCAAAGCGTGGTGTGTTTGGCAAAACTGGAGATCTCCAGACTATACTGTGCCTGGCTAGTGCAAGAGATGAAATTACTTATTCTGGTGCATTAAATGGTGATATTTATGTATGGAAAGGCATTAATTTAATCCGAACTGTCCAGGGGGCACATGGGGTAAGTGTTTACATGAATTATACAACCGTACAAGTATGTTGTACAACTGAAATTTGCATTATTTCTGTGTTTATATTTGTTAAAAATTCTGAACACTAGTTTTATAGATTTCTTCATGTGATTTTAAGCAATAATCTCCATAAGCAAATCAGATGGTTCTGTTAGAGCACTTGTATCATTCCCCATATACAATGTAAACCATAATGTCTTTCCCTAGCAAAGATTGATAGATGCTCGTTAAACAAATCTGGAATAACAATTTTCATATGAATTTTAGAACTTTACAAAGAGTAATTTAATCACCTTATTAGTTTCTTTTCTATACATACTTTTTAAAGTTTAAAAAATGCAGATCTATAGCAAGAGGGTTAGTAATGTGTACCCTTTGGATATATATATTTGAAGTGTACTTAATTGAATGAAGTGGTACAAAACTAGGCTTTATTAGGTTGACCTGATTGATACAGATTGGTACAACAATAAAATGGAGCTTTTTAAAAATTATTCAGTCAGGAATCTTCAGTATGAACAACTGTGAAGAAGGATTTGCCACAGGTGGTCGGGATGGTTGTATTCGCTTATGGGATTTAAGTTTCAAACCCATCACTTTGATTGATCTCAGGGAAACAGATCAAGGCTACAAAGGTACAACTAAGAATTGAGTTTATTTTTTTGTGGGGAGGGGTTCCAATTTGTACAATGTAGTTCAGTTTAATAGAAAAATAGCTATAAATGAATTGGTGAAGTAAGAACATGATTGAAGCATTTAGCTGTACTGCAATGTTCTCCACCCTCACATTTTACATAGGAAAAGCATTATATTATTTGTAGGTTCATTAGACAATTTTAAATTGTAGCATTACATCATAATCTTATTCTGAAATTAATATCGTATAATAGTAGGTGGTGTAAAATAAAATTCAAAATCAATTTTAATTTCTGTTCGATCCTAATACATGCTAATACCTGTATAAAATATTATCTTTAGACCGTTATTATAAAAGCACAAATTTATGATGGTGCACACACCCCACGTAATCAATCATTCTGCAACTCGCAAAATATGGCTTGCTAGATCTCTTATGAAAAATGTAACCTTGTAATTTTTTAAAAAGTTTTTAATCGTTGAAATATGAATGATGTGTGCTAGATAGGTCATTGGGATGTTAAAGCAATATTTTGTGTCTGGATTAAGATGCACATTTAAATGTGACTGAATAAGGAATTCTGAATAATGAAACTAAATTTACCAATTAAATATTGAAATCCTCAGCTTGGATTAAGTATGTATTTATCTGCAGTTAATAGTATAGGGATTTCTTTTTAAACATACAGTTTTTAAAGATTGATGGGCCTGAATTTTATGGTTGTCTGTCATATCGCAGAAATTAAAGTTCAATGTAACTGACCTTTCCATTTGGCAGTCAACCTTGAACTTGTGACTGAGATATAGTAATGTAAAGAAAATTGTGGTTGTAAATACTTGAATTTTTAGAATTATTGTAAAATGAATGTGTATGTCATTGAAGTATACATTTGCCTGTGTAGCAGTCAATTATTTTGAAGCTTTACAATTTATCTAATCCATTTGTGAAAGAATGCATTTTCTTTCCTAGGTCTTTCAGTGAGGAGTGTATGTTGGCGAGGAGATCATATTTTGGTTGGAACACAGGACAGTGAAATCTTTGAAGTAGTAGTACATGAACGTAACAAGCCTTTCCTGATCATGCAGGGACACTGTGAAGGAGAATTATGGGCACTTGCAGTTCATCCAACAAAACCTTTAGCAATAACAGGGAGCGATGATCGATCGGTTAGGTTTGTACATCTATGTGATGGTTCTGCTTAAAGTGGTTCACAAGTAATTTCTGTTAAGTTTAGTGAATTTTTAGATAAATGTGGAACTATTTGCACTAACAATGCCCTTATTCTGAGATGTCAAATTAATCTGGTAGATTGTTGGCCAGGACATCACAAGAAATTTCCAATTAAGTTTTCAAACAGTGTCGTAAGAACTTGAACATTAAACCCAATAGACACTCAATACTGTACTGGAGTATCAGCCTGGACCAAAACCTAATTTTCAAAGTTTCAATTACTGACCCAAAAGATGAGAGCTCTCCCAACTGAGGCAGATTGGCACACAAAATAATGCTTTAAAATATTACGCATTAAATAAAATATTGTCTAGTTTCCAAATTACTCATGTCTCAAAAAGACTAAGGTTTAAAAAGGATACACAATGATTAATGTATGAAAGATAATTTGCCAATTAGAACTGAATTACATAGAATTTTTTCTACGTGATGTGTTAATTAAGGTTACCTGTTCACTTTGGAGTATCAAATGTCTCAGTTGCCTTTTGTTTTTCCCTTTTTGTGGTGGCTCCATTTACACCAATAGAATATGGAGCCTTATTGACCATGCTTTAATTGCTCGTTGTAATATGGAAGAGCCAATTCGATGTGTTGCTGTAAGTACAGATGGCATCCATCTTGCTCTGGGAATGAAGGATGGCTCTTTCACTGTACTACGCATCAGGTATGTGCAAAGGAAAACTATACTCTGTTTTACCAATGTATCTCAAAAGAAATGCACCTTAGCTTTAAAATAAATTGATTATTAAATGTCTTGAATTTTACTAATTTGCTAACTAATGTTTGGAGTTTAGTTTTTTCTGATCCTGTTCTTTAGACCTATCTATTGTTTTGTCTTTTAGAGATATGACTGAGGTTGTTCACATAAAAGATAGGAAAGAAGCAATACACGAGCTAAAGTATTCACCTGATGGAACATGTTTGGCTGTGGGCTCAAATGATAATTCTGTTGATATCTATGGAGTTTTGCAGCGATATAAAAAAGTTGGCGAGTGTATTGGATCTTTGAGTTTCATCACACACATGGATTGGTCAGTTGATAGTAAATATTTACAAACTAATGATGGTTCAGGTAAAAGACTCTTCTACAAAATGCCAAGTAAGAGTTTCACTTTTTTGAAGAACCTATTTACTTTTTGTATGTTTACTTTTTCTTGATACCATTTAAAAAAAACGTTGTGTGACATGATAATCATTTATTAAATTAGTTCTCAGTTATAAGGCCGGTTTGTTTATTATTTGGTTGTCCTGTGGACCCACCACAACAAGCCAGCATCTACATGCTGGCTACCCACATGCTAACAGTGACCAATCCCCACGTATATGGGTTGCCGAGCATGCTTAACATGCGCAAGAAGCTTCCTGCGCTCAGGCACGAGTGAAATGCGAAAGAGGTAACATCGGTGATGACTTGATGACTCAGAAGTCAGATCTTTTTTAACAAAGGATGACTGACTTTCTGCACACAGTTGGCCCAGTCGTTGCACAGTAATGCAACCATTCACATGTTTGCTAACATCAACATATGAAATGAACGATGGCCATTCTTGATCATACCCTGTTATAAGGCAGATTCAAATTTTATGGAACCCCATCTACCACTTTAAAACTGAGTTATAAAGTCTAGCTTATCTGTGGCCCATTTATGAAGAATTGAAAAACGATGCTATCCAGAAAAACTCTGTGAATATTGATGGTAGTTTTGTTCATTCAAAATAAATTAAACTCAGCATTGTGTATACTTTTCCAGTGACGAATGTTATTGCATTTCAGGTGGTAAAGAAATTACAAATAAAGAAGAAATAAAGGGTCTTTCATGGACAACTTGGACTTGTGTATTGGGTGCTGAAGTAAATGGAATATGGCCCAAATATTTAGATGTTAATAATATTAATTCAGTCGATGCAAATTTGAATAGTCAGGTTCTAGTTACTGCAGATGACTATGGATTGGTAAAGCTTTTTCGATATCCTTGTGTTAAAAAAGGTAAGTTTTTTTCAATCGTTGTGAACTTGCGTTTAATGACTTGGAGACTTGGATCCCTAAATACTGTTGTTCATGCATCTTCCCCTATTCATTTCAGTGTATCGCTGTTTCACCATTCTTGTATCCAATATCTACTATGTTACACTTTACATTGAACTCTGTCTCCCATAGTTTTTTAACCTATGTGCTATTTGTCACCTACATGCAATTGTAATGATTCCAAATGTTTCTTCTGATATTTAAATATTTCAAAGTTGATCCTTGAGAAACACCTTATTCTGTGTTTGCTTACATCTTATTTTCATCTTACAGAAAGTTTTGTCGTTTGATGAAACTTTCTATTTGGAATAATTATGAAGTTATTTTATTCATTACTATTAGGGTCTGCAAAACTTTCTGTAGGACAACAGCTTCTACTAACTGCTACACGTTTTGAGTACCATGTATTTGGTTGAATTAAACATCAATGATGATATTTTTAAAAAATTATAATTTTTTAAATATTTTTTATTTTATATTTTAAGTCTTTTATTATGTAACTAATGTATTTCTACAACAATGTAACTTTTTCAGGAGCAAAATTTAAGAAATATATTGGTCATTCTGCTCATGTGACCAATGTGAGATGGTCTCATGACTATCAGTGGGTTGTTTCTATCGGTGGAGCAGATCATTCTGTTTTCCAGTGGCAATTTATCCCTGAAAGGAAGTCTAAAGAATTCCTTCATATTGCACTTCAAGGTGAGCAAAATTTATATACCACAACTGCATTGTAGAACAACACTAAAACAACAACAAGATTTCATTTATAGAGCGCTTTTCACGTCGGGAGGTCGTCCCAAAGCGCTGGACAGTTGGGTCAGGACCCGAGCAGGGGGGAAATAGTCAGGGGGAGGGAAGGGAGGGAGCGAGAAGGGGGTAGAGAGTCGAGAGGGGGGGAGGAGAGAATATTGTTTTAGAAGATTTCCTGTTTTCTAGTTGCATACCAAGAAGCACTTCACAAATCCATGTAAAGTCAATTTATGGTCTAAATTTCTAATGTAAAAAGCCACGTCTTTAAAGAACCAACTATGATTTAGAAGTTTCCAATGCATATTTCTGCTTTCCCTTTTCAGTGGATTATGCTTTTTTATTTATCATTGTCAGAAGCTATCTCATCACTTATTAGTTAATGTATGGCCGCAGGCTTATTAATTGTAGAGGTAGAGAACATCTTTTTAAAGTGTCTATCTTTTAGTTTTTAAGATTGATTGTTTGTCTGTTTGTCTTACAGAAAGTTTTGCTGACTCTAATAGTGATGAATCTGATTCTGATCAATCTGATGTACCAGAGCTGGACTCTGAGATTGAACAAGAAACTCAGATTAGTTATCGTCGGCAGGTAGATTGCTGTATTATAAATTCTCTGTTGCATTTGAGCATCATATCTAGAAAGCCATATTGCAGCTGCCTCTTACCCTGACACAAGTCAGTTTTCTTTGAATAGGTTTACAAAGAAGATCTGCCTCAGCTCAAAGAGCAATGCAAAGACAAGAGACGAGCAGCCGCTTCAAAGAAAAGGGAAAAAGCTCCCAGCAGCAGTTTGCGCTTACATTTTGTTCATGGGTAAGATATTTGTTCACTTACAAATACAGTCACTACACTTTACATTATATCCTGTGAAGGGCTTTGAGTCGTCCTGATGTGAAAGATGCTAAACTAGATACAAGGATTATTATTATTGTTCCTCCGTCTGCTCCATATACACTTTTTGTTGTTGTTTCATTTTCATCAAAGCATCTTATTGACTTTTATAATAGAATTTTTAAAATCTTTTTATTCACTCTGTAGCTATCATCCAAAGTTTCATCTTGCAATCTTTGCTCCCTAGAGATATTCTTTGTTCAGGTCCTTTAAAATCTATACAGTATATGAGTAACCATTGACATTATTGTTTTATAATTGTCTTCATATCTTTCAGCTACAGGGGACATGACTGTAGGAGCAATCTGTTTTATACACAAACTGGAGAGATTGTATACCATGTTGCAGCAGTAGGAATAGTATATAATCGACAACAGAATATACAGCGGTGCTATCTTGGACATGATGATGACATTGTCTGCCTATCAATTCATCCTTCAAAGGATTATGTGTCAACAGGCCAGGTAACTTATGCCTATTTGAATACTTACTTTTAGTGAGATTTATTATCCATATAATGTTTAAACATTGGGTAAAGATTTCTAAAGTCGGACTTTAGTTTCAGGTTACAGATCAATCAGTGTGGTCTGATCTTATTTAATGCAAGTGGATTGGTAGCATAGACATCCTCCTTCGCTATTCTATACTTGTTCTATATACGTGGTCGTTTCTGGGTTGCCTATATATATTGTCCTCAAAAGCAGTCGATTCCACAAAACAGTTTAAAAGCATAAAAAATAATCTTTGTGCATCCAAATCCAATAACTATGGTGAAGATTTTGGTTTTAGGTGGGTCGTGATTCTGCAATTCATATTTGGGATACTGATGTACTGAAGCCATTATCAATTTTGAAAGGACATCACCGGTTTGGGGTTTGTGCAGTGGACTTTTCAGGTAAGAGATAAGTGTAGTTGAATCCTTTACAAGTCTAACATGTATTGGTTTTGTAAAAACATAAACAAAACACAAAATACTACAGATGCTGGAAATCTGAAAACAAAAACAGAAGTCGCTGGGAACATTCAGCAGGTCAGGCAGCAACTATGGAGAAAGGAAAGTGAGTCAACGTTTCAGTTCCACGACCCTTTGTCAGACCAGGGTCGTAGACCCGAAACGTTGACTCACTTTCCTTTCTGCATAGTTGCTGCCTGACCTGCTGAGTGTTCCCAGCGACTTCTGTTTTTGTTTGCAAAAACATAATGTCTGTGGTAGACAGCAAATCTTAACCACAATCTTAGTCTCGCCCCAAGATGGTCTTTGATAACCATTTCATTTGATCTCTACTACATTTCTGAGCAATTAAAATTCATACTTTTTTTTAAGACCTCCCCATGCCTAATAACTGATGTTTTTTTTAATCCACCTCTGTTACCTTTTTAAGCTTAACTGGGGATATTTTCATTACTTTTCAATATTTGTATTTCCTGCTTATGCTTCTATAGGGGTGGAATTGAACTCTGCATTTGAATATTGTGGGATTGTAGTTTCTAATAAATAATATTAATTATTTGGTTTCTATACCTTTTGTAGGAACTGCGCTCTCATTAATTAAAATTATTGGAACTAAAGCTCGGTTCTTTAGATTTTATTAGGTTAAATAATCCCAACTGGTATCTTATTTATTTTAGCGGATGGAAAACGTTTGGCATCAGTGGGACTGGATGAAAATCACACCATAATTCTCTGGGAGTGGAAGAAAGGAGAAAAACTTTCTTCAGTGCGGTAGATGCTTAGCCCTGTATTTTATTAATATTAATCTTTTTGATATAGTCTTTTGTCAATGTCTTAAAGCACTTTACAGAATTTATTGTAAAGTGGGGTGACTGTCTTTGTAATGGGATGCGGTAGCTAATTTTTCACAGCAATATCCCACAAATAGCCAAATGAAGTGATTTTTACATCTGTTTTTCAAAAACATTGGGAGAAGCTCCCTTCTCTTTTGGAATAATAAAAGTAAGATAGATATGCATTGTCAGTTGAAGAGGAAATTACTGAACTCCATAAACATTGTTTTCAAATGGAAGGTAGTATTCTCTGAAAGTTTTTCTTCTCAGAGTGATACTGGTTTTCCATCTCCTAAGAAACAGAGAATATTTCATTTCCTTATGTGGTAACAATTTTAGTAGTAAATGTACAATAATAATGTTAATTGCAGAATGTAATCACTACAATATTGATTTTGCGGTACAGTGTCTAGCATTATCTTTTTTCATGCACAGTATTTAGATTATAAAATTAACTATATAAATGTTGTAATTAAAATCTGTTTACCATTGTATTGTAAATTATCCCATGTGTATTTTCAAAGGTATAAATAATGTAGGATAGTTTGAATTATTTCACAGTTTGCAACTCATTTCATAATCAAATGAATTGCAAAACAATATTTTATTTTTTCATGTTCAAAATTCATTTACTTATGAAATAGAATAATAGTTATGAAATAGAATAATCCTATATATTATGAAATTGTTTATCAAGTCAAACTACTGTATATTTTTATATTAGAGGAGGTGCAGACAAGATTTTTGTTGTCAAGATAAATCCCTTTGTGCCAGACAAACTAGTTACAGCTGGAATAAAACACATGAAGTTCTGGCAACGAGCAGGTAAGACAATTAACTACTTTTACTTCTGTAATATCCTTTTCTGATTAAATGGCTTTTATCCACTTTATTCAGTATTGATACTCTGCAGTATAGGCATAGTGCTTGGCTATTTCATGTAATACATTTATAAGATCAATAGGACCCTGTTACTCTTAATGAACTGAATACTACCTCTACTGTTAATATTAATCCTTGCATTTAATATAGCACCTTTCACATGAGGAGGTTGTGTCAAAATGTTTCACAGAATTTACTGTTCAGTGAAAAAGTATAATTTACTCAAGATGAGTTTTTATTCCTTATTCTAAAATTCTACTTTGCAGAAGATAAGCCAAAAATGTGAATATGTTTAAGAAAATTAAAAGCACATGAAACATTAACCAGGTTTTTATACTATGTATTAAGATAATTTGTTTTATAGGTGTAAGTTCCAATTAACAGTTTTAAAAAGTGTTGAAAGTAAAGGAAAACGTTTCATAAAATATAGTCTTTATAATTTGTTTTCTCTGTAAGGTGGCGGACTGACTGGAAGAAGAGGCTTTTATGGAACTTTTAGAAAGACGGAAACCATAATGTGTGCAGTGCACGGTTGGTCAGAGGAGATGGTGTTTTCAGGCACATCAACTGGGGATATCTGTATATGGCGTGATACATTCCTCATTAAAACTGTCAAGGCTCATGATGGACCAGTTTTCAGTATGCATGCCTTAGAGAAAGTAAGATATAAGGAATGCCTTACGAGATATCAAGTTGATAGATGTGAATTTTAAATTTTAGTAGGCATTCTGTCTAATTTATTCAAATTACTTTATTAGCTTAAAACTTAATCTTAAATGCAAAGATAGTATTGCCTTAAATTGATAATAAGATGGTTACCATGGTGGCTTTAAACTATTTGTTTTTACTGCCATGTTGCTTTAGGCTTTTTTTTGTGTTACGAATGTACTATGAAATTCTGGTAACAAACAGATCCCTGAGTAAAACCTAATTTTTTTCTGGAAGTTCCATAATCATTCCTCCTCTTCCCCAAACTAAATATTCTTTACAATTCAGAATAAGACCACCACCAACCAGAAGACACAGAGGCAAGATTGTATCTTCAAATAATACTGCTGTACCTGCCATTGCCTGTGATGATGCTTCTTTCCTTCATTCTGTTTTCCTTTCTCCAAAAAGACAAAGCTATGTGCAGAACTTTCTCACAGCTATGTTTGAACGGTTGAGAGAATTACTTTTCAGTTCCTTCTCTGTTTTTTTCCCTGCACTACAACAAAAATAAAGTTAAGCTAATCTGCAAGGTTTTTCTCTTGAAAAAGAAGAAATAGTTTTTATATTCCTGGAAGGAAAGTGTCAAATCTATTCAGATTAAAGGCATCAGAAAATTACGCTTTTTTGTTTTTTCTTTGTGCCAGCTTATTCTTCTTTCTCCCAGGGTTTTGTTACTGGTGGGAAAGATGGTATTGTTGCACTTTGGGATGATTGCTTTGAGAGATGTCTGAAAACCTATGCCATCAAACGTTCTGCACTCACTCCAGGATCTAAAGGTACCAATGTACCTAAGTGTTTGTTGTATAGTCCAATCTAATTACAGTATCAATGCCTATATATTCCTTTTCTAAGAAATGTACTACATTTTCAAGAACCATAGAAGGTATGAAATAGGAAAAATGAAAAATGTTGAATTGGTCTATACCCATTAAGTTCAATTTGCAAGATCTTGCCTTCCTCTTCTGATTCCATATTTTGTTTATTCCCTTCCCTTTAATGTCAACTTCAAGTTTACCTACATTATCCAGCACTGAGTCTGCAAATCCAGATCATTTATGTACAGTGGGAACAGGATGATTCCTTAGGCTCCCCAGTAACACACCCCATCTGATGCAGTTTCCCTTACACTAAGCTCTGTATCCTTTTCCGTGGCCAGTTAATAATCTACATTTATATCTTACCCTTGATATTCAGTTTGTAAAAGAGTCTTTTGTGGCACTTTGCTAGTTTTTTTTGTAAGTAAATAAATATGCTACATTCCCTACAAGCTGAGGAGAATGACACATTTTATTTTACATTTTGTAGGTCTTTTACTGGAAGACAACCCTTCAATTCGTGCCATAACATTAGGTCACGGTCATGTGCTTGTAGGTACAAAGAATGGAGAAATATTGGAAATTGATAAAAGTGGTCCCATAACCCTGCTGGTTCAGGTAATTTATTATAACTATTTTCACATCAGTAGGTTGTCACTAATTTTGGTTTTAAAAGTAATTGCATGAAGATCCAGTGTAAAATATTTTGACATTTCAAAATTGGATGTTGGTTACTGATCAGTTTTATAAACTTTGTTTGCATGCTATGACTGGGATTCAAATGGTGTTTAAAATGTCATGGGCAACGTCAATTTAGATTTATAATAATTCTTGACTCATTGGTACTAATTGTTCCTAGGTCTATTTGATGATGGTATTTTGAAATTGACCACATTCAAACATTTTGGTTTGCAGGGTCACATGGAGGGTGAAGTATGGGGCCTGGCTACTCATCCCCATTTGCCTATTTGTGCTAGCATTAGTGATGATAAAACTCTGAGGATCTGGGATCTCTCCCCAAGTCACTGTATGCTTGCTGTCCGCAAACTTAAAAAGGGTAAGTAAGTTATAAGAATGTAAATCAGTTTGAATAATATTTAATATTACAACATGTAGCCCAATCTATGTACGCACGTTTTAATATTCTGACACTAACGTAGTGTGTTTTCTACTGATTCTAGGTGGCAGGTGTTGTTGTTTCTCAACTGATGGGAAGTCTCTAGCAGTTGGTCTGAATGATGGTAGCTTCCTGATTGTGAATTCGGATACACTGGAAGATCTTGTTTCTTTTCATCATAGAAAAGATCTCATTTCAGACATTCGATTTTCCCCAGGCATGTAGGCTAAACTAAATATTTTATCAGTTATTGTGCTTTATATGAAATGTAAGTAACATAATTACTATTCAAATAGGTTTGATCAACAAGTGGAATCCAGTCAGGGCTTCCGCATTCATTGTGCGTGTGTGCAGCTGGCCGACTAAATTCTGTATGTCGGGGAAAAAATGTCTGACTTCCAAGTCGTTAGTTTACTGCTTACATTATTCTCTTTGTGCTCTCTTTGTGCTGTCAGATGGTGAACTGAAAATCAGCCATTTTGTACCACATGTACAGTAAATGTGGTTTACATTCCATTCACTCTCTTAAGTTAACCCTTGCTATAACTAAGTGTGTTATAATGGACTTCCACTACATCATAGTTTATGAAAACTAGGATTCTGCAGATGTGGAAAAACTGGAATTACTATATTGCATCCACGTGTTGAGTAAGAGAAGGATGAGCACCAAGTGAAATCTAGCTTTCCTGTTTGGCAGTTGCATTAAAGCTAAACATTCTACATATCCAGAATGTATGTAAATGTTGAACTTGAAAGGAATAAGAATTCATAAGCCTGAGATTTAGTCTGGAATATTGATCGATGTTTAAAAAGGGTATTTAAATCTGTTTATTATTATAGAGATTCTTTGAGCTCCTCAAGATGAAAAATAGCATTCCACCATGGAAAATATAACACTTTTCACCTCAGCTTGGCTAAATTTCTGTAAGAAAATAATTGTCAGATATGCGTGTAAGACAATGCAGTTTATATTCATAATGGGCTTTTCACTTCAGAAATGAGTTTCTTACCCATTATTCCCTATTGTTATCCTCCAAAATTGCCCCCAATTAATACTATCTTCATTTAGGGGACTGTGCACGGCAGTCAATGTTATTCCTTGGTCAGTTTGAAATGTCTAGGAAAAGAGTATCGTTTTCTTCTCATAGATGACTGAATGTCAACACTTATCAGATCCATGTCTTATAAATGTTATTTAAATCGAGGATTGAAGCTGATCTTGGCTTTTTGGAATTCCAGCGTAACTACTGGAGAATTAATTCACTGTGTTTTAAAAAATATAGGAATGCTACTTGTTGTTCAGTAAGAAAATAATAACCTGTTTGTTCCATATTTCAGGTCCTGGAAAATATTTGGCTGTAGCGTCTTATGATAACTTTGTAGACATCTACAATGTAATGAGTAGTAAACGGGTTGGAATCTGCAAAGGATCTTCCAGTTGCATAACACATGTGGACTGGGACAAAAGAGGTACAATATAGTATAACGTAACTTTGACACAGCAAGGCTGAATTGTATTTTTGTGTGCGCGTGTATGTGACAACACCAGAGTATCTCCAACTGAAACTTGCATATGGAATATGCTCCTGCAAGGTTTCATAATATTTGTTCCAAAAATATATTTGAATATTTTGTCAAAGTGGTCTTCTGCACAAATAGAATAACCATGCTATATTTAGTGATATCACATACAATTTTATACTTATGAAACTTATATGCATGAAAGTTGTCTGTGTGTTTTCCTTGTGTTTAATTAATTCAGTTAATTGATAGTGGTAAGTTTCAATGGGAAATAATGAAACCTGTTAACATTTAATTTTTTAATAGGAAAACTTTTACAAGTTAATACTGGAGCTAAAGAACAACTATTCTTTGAAGCTCCTCGTGGAAAACAACAGAGTATAAATAATGCAGAGGTAAGGTAAATGCTATAGTATTATAACAACAATAATTTACATTTATATAGTCTTTCACATCCAGAGGACATTTCCAAGAGCTTCACACAGCTAAACGGAGATGACCAAAAGCTCAGTCAAAGAGAAGATACCTTTTAAGGTGGGCCTTAAAAGTGAGGAGGGAGAGGGACTCCACAATGCAGTTCCAGAGAGAGGTGGGCAGAATGTCTGAAAGCACGCGTGTGGAGTAGAACAGCCAGGATAGCTGAAGCAGACAAGCAGACCATTGTTAGCTTAGCGCGACAGGGCTGGAGGTCACTGAGGTAAGGTGAGCTGGGAGGCGGTGGGAAGCATGTAAGGATTTGATTGCGAGGATGAAGAGTTTGAATTCAGTTTGCTGGGGGATAGGATGTCTGGAGTTGAGCGAAGCTAGAGCAATTACTGAACAACATAATTGTATTTTGAATCATACCAATAGTTATTATTTTCTGGGCTAAAATTGTTATTCGTTTAATAGTTGCATTTTTTATTCCACGAATTTCTTAAGGTGGAGAAGATAGACTGGACCTCTTGGACGTGTGTCTTAGGTTCTTCGTGTGAGGGGATTTGGCCTATAATAAGTCAAATCACAGATGTTACTTCATCCTGCCTTACTAGCAGCAAAAAGGTGTTGGCTACAGGGGATGACTTTGGATTTGTGAAGTTATTCCGATACCCAGTGAAGGTAATCACTTTTTTGCAGTCATTACTGAATTGCCTTACCTTTTAATGAATATACTTCTTCCAATTACATTCCATGAAATGGAAAGAATAATAATCACAAATTTAAATAGGTAAGAAATAGAATCCAAAACACAAAATACTGCAGATGCTGGAAACTGAAACAAAAACCAAGAGAGCTGGAAAAACTCAGCAGGTCAGGCAGAGAAAGGAAAATGAGTCAACGTTTCGGATGCACGACCCTTCGTCGAAATAGAATCCATCTAATTTGCACTATACCCTTTGATGACACAGTCCTCATGGTATTTATATTTCAATTAGGGATAGGTTGTCTATTTTGCTCAAATGGTGATCAGAGAAATCATAGAGTTCAATATTTTGTTTGTGGTTTATCCACTGAACTGGAAAGCAGTGGTAATTAAGAAACTCAAAGTAAAGCAGTGAAATTGAACATAAATGCTTTAATTTACCTAAAATAATAAATATGACACATTAACAATTGTAATCTGAACATAACATCTATTATGTATTTTTTATTAAGGAGGCTAACGATTGGTTTCCTCTCATTCAGGGAAAATATGCGAAGTTCAAGAGATATGTGGCTCACAGTACACATATAACAAATGTGAGGTGGACGTATGACGATAGTTTGCTGGTTACAGTCGGAGGAGCAGACACAGCAGTGATGGTTTGGACACATGAAGTAGATGGATACAAGGAGCCCAGGCAATATGACAGTGAAGAGTCTGATTTAGATTCTGATGAAGATGGAGGTGGGTATAAGCTGCTGTATGACAAATTGTTTCAGATAATTCAATTTATTCTTGGTTTCAAAGGAGGAACGCAAGCACCAATATTTGTATAAAAGGTAGTTTTAAATTATACATTTTTGAATTCATTTTTAATGTGTTTGCTGTAATTTGCAAACTTTTAAAATTGCAGTTTCCACATAGCATTGGTATTGAGTTAAACAGGAGGCTGTCATTTGTCATTGGATAAATTATTCTTGGAGCTTAATATTTCCAAGGCAATTCGATATTTGATTGATTATCTCATTTAAATAATAACAAACTGTCAAGAAGATTGATAAGTCTCAATTACTTTTATTGGGCTTCATTTCATAGGTTATGACAGCGATGTCACACGAGAAAATGAAATGAATTATACCATCAAGGCCTTTGCAACAAGTATTCGACATATGTCAGGAATCAAGCCTCATCTACAACATAAAGAGCCTTCACAAGAGGAAAGGTATCAAAATCTTAAGAATATTATGTTCCTCCCACTGCTATCTGCATAAATAGATTTTGGATTGTATGGATCAGACTTCGGGAAGATTTTGGTATCAGTTTTAGCTTTGTGGGGGTATTTTAATTTAGAGAGGGAGGTAGTTTTATATAAATTATCAGTAAAACTTTAGGGAAGTTGATCTATTCTGTAACTGAAACATTACATTTTAATTTATGGAAGGAAGGTTTTAGTCTTTATTACAATACCCTTTTGCTTTACTGTTCTAACTACTGTTCCTATAGTAGCAGTTCCCATTTCCTGGCTGCTGTGATATTTTGTGTTTTGTACTGAGGAATCAGATATATGGGTTTACCATTCCTGAACCAGAATAGCTGTATTTTTGCATCAATGTTACAACATTGTAAACCCCCAAAATTCTACCTATTCAACAGACCATATGATATTCATTATTCTTCTCAAAGTGATTTGCAACAAAAAAGTCTTTCCTCAGTGCAAAGCAAATCATACTCACAAAATATTCAATGTTTCTTACTGATTCTTCTTGTCTCAAAAAAACTGAAAAACTTATCTACTGATTCTTACTTAATCTATCTCTCCATTTCTCTTGCGTCTTGCGTTCTGCGAAGGCAGGGAATAGTCAGGTAAGCATTAATAGCAGTGCTTATTAAAAACAAGTATCAATGATTAATCAATATCTTTTAAATTGAAGCACTGTGACTTTATTTTTAAAGAATAAGAAGATCAGAAATTGGAGCAGGAATAGGCCATTCAAGAATTATATAAATATTTTCTTCCTTGCTACATATAAATTAGGATAGATCTATCTTTCCATGAGAGAAAACAAAATAGCTGCCACCTTCGCCCACAATATACAGTGTTTTCTATACAAATCTGCATTCTCTCAGTTGATCATAATAAATCATCCAGACCTTGTCTTAGATACTTTTTATGTTATCAGTAGAAGAATCTTCTACTTTATTGATGCAGATCAGTTTCCTGCAGAATGCTAATAGTCAGACAGAATATTGTCATTTTTGCAGTTGCCTTCTGATTTTGTTTGGGATGACATTTTTTAATCCATCTATAAGTCCATTTGCCTCAATCTTTAAACCCTCGAGTACAAAACTTGATCAAATGATTTCTGAAAATTCAAGTAAATGACATTCCTTGGAGGGTTATTACAATTTGCACTAGATTTGTAAGGCATTAATAGTTGCTCTTAAAACCCCACAAATTACTGCTAATGCTCTCCATCAACAATGCTGGTACAATATGTTGTAAAATGGTTAACCATTTGCCCTTTTTAAATTAACTGATTCCTTATTAATTAGCTATATGTAAACAATGTTATAAATAAATATATTTTGAGGACCAAACAAAATACCTTTTTAACAAAATTAACTGAAGAATTTTCCTTTTAATGGCCAGGATAGATATATAATTGATTAAAATAAATAGTCTATATGCAACATTTAACTTGTCTTCATTTGACTAATATTTATCATGTAGTGCAGAAATACATATTGTGACCTTTTTCTAAAATGGCTTTGCTCTTGTTTTCTTTTAATTAGGGAAGATGAAGTGTTCTGATGATGTATTCTTAGAACAAGGATGTGTGCAATGTGCAGTCAGAGATCATAGCGCATATAATTAACTCTTGTTTCTCTCTTGCCTGCAATCATCAAGGGGATCAAGGTATGTAATTAGTTTTCTGTACGTAAGTTGTTTCAAACTATTTTTAGCTCCAAAAGATTAACTTGAAGGTGTCACAAATGTGTGTGTGTGTGTATCAATAACCAGACTAAATCCAATTTATGTTGAGAATGGTTTCAATTCTCATATAATAAAATAACACCAGATCACATGACCTGAGTAAATAAAACCTAATTTCCCCTTCCAATGGTTGAATCACTAAAACCTTGTTCTTTTCACGTGCTTTGGTGGAAACAATAAAGGAGTTTGAATTCTTCAACATTTTTTCTTGTTTTTTGCCATTCCAGTTAGCATCTCCCACCAACTTTGGCTTCATTCTTACTTCTTCATTTCATTCAATAATATTCTTGGCATATCTAACTCCTCAGTGTTCTATTGGAATTCTCATATCTTTTTCATTGCTAAAATGCCTCAGAGAAGCTTCAAACCCACACTTTTTTTCCTCACAAAGAGCCAGCCCAAGTCTGTTCAGGATTTAAATACTGCTCTTTAAATTTAGGGAGTTTTTCTGACGACTTTCACACTCGAAGAACCAAATATAAGATAAGCTTGTCATCTTTCACTTTAGCAACTATTGCAACTTTTTCAAATCTATTTTATTGCTGTTACCATAATCACTGTTCCTCTGAAATTATCTGTTTTTATTGCAGCAAGAATAAGAAACTTCCTACCAAAAAATAAATAATTATTTTAAAGAAGGTAGCACATAATTCTGTTTACACATTTCAGCGATGCAAAACAAGTGTTGCGTTACCACCGTATACTTCATGTACCTAGCAATCTTTTCTCTGCTTTGAGTTGAACACACAAAGCTAATGAATTAGATGAAATCTTTAGTATAGAATGGGTGACGAACACAATTTTCTTATTCACAGTTCTTTATTTCAGACCACCCGTTAGTAGGGCACTACCTCAACCTGAGAAACTGCAAACAAATAATGTTGGCAAGAAAAAGAAACCAATTGAGGTATGTGGAGAGAAGTGGGTTCATGACACTGTTTGCTTGATTACCTTTGAAAGTTGAGAGGTATCTATCCAGTGCCAGGTTGGGTAAAAAGTTCGATGGGCCAAGTTGTGTAGGTTAATTGGGACTATTTGTCCTTTCTTATTCTGTATTAACTTGTTTTATGCTAACTTCCGAAACAGATTGTTCTTAGACCTTCTTTCATCTTTATTCATGACCAATTGGGTTTTTATCCTAAATTGCAAACATAAGGGTGTACAATAGTTTTGTAATGTAGCTGGGGATATTTTAAACAGTTCTTAAACTTCTATTTTAATCTTTAGTTTTTTTTTAAAAAGGATGTTATTATTTTCTTTTGATTTAATAGGACCTGTCTCTGGAGCTTGTTTTTGGATATCGTGGCAATGATTGTCGAAACAATGTTCATTACTTGAACGATGGTGCTGACATCATTTATCACACAGCGTCAATTGGAATTGTGTTTAACCTTGGCACAGGTGGAATCATTATTTTGCATTTTAAATGTTGCAGTATTTTATTTCACATTTCTTCATTTTTTTATTGTATGAATTTTTTTAAGTTGGATGCTGTTGGATTGTGAGAATTTTTATAAAGCTTTATATAAATATGAAATAGCATTGATACGTATCTTATTGAGAGGAATACTAATTATGCTGATTCTTGTTGCTTGTTATTAGCCATACTTATATTTATTTAATTTATTTTAGGTTCGCAGTCTTTTTATCTTGAACATACAGATGACATTCTGTGCTTAACTGTTAACCAGCATCCCAAATTTCAAAATATAATAGCAACGGGACAAGTAGGTATGTAGGACAGAGGCAATGAGTGAAATACAGTACATCTCTTAAGTATTTTTCCATGGTTCTTGATCAAATTGATACAAATTCCAATACATTAATTATAGTTTATCTGGTTATGTTGAAATTTAAAATAGATGTCTCTCACAAGATGTTTCAATAGATGTTTCTACAGCTGACACTTTACATTAGTATATTGTACAGAACCTTTTACGCGATCAATCATTTCATGATTGTTTTGTTACAGAATATAAACAAAATATTTGCACCGCCTTTCTACGTTACTAATTATGTGAATATGAAATATAAGTTCAAGATTTTATATAGTTTGGCAAGTTTGTTTAGCTTTTTATATTGTTGAAATATTACTAAAACAAAATTGCCCTTCAAACCATTTTATCATTTATGATAATGTGTTATACATTTGACCCATCTTGCTCAACAACTACAAACTAAATATTAAATGCTGTTTTGTCTGCTGTTTTATGGAATAAACTATTATCAATATTATAGGATGTTCAAGAAGTACAGAGTTGCATGTAGGAGTTCCATCTATTCAGATCCTGTGTCCAATTCGTATTTTTTTTTAAAATGTTGCTAAGAATTAATAAATACTGTATCTAGGAGTTGCAACCATAAACTTGAGATTCAGTGAAGATATGTTACAGTAAAGATCTGCTATGTAGAGTGCTTATGCTATGTCATCTAACTGACTATTTGTTTTTATTGTATTTTGCTTCTGGACTCTGATATAATTTAAAAGGTGAATCTGCTGATATGTCAGGTAAGAAACACAATTCCTGCCCTGCACTCTATTTCTTCAATAAGTAACTCTTCACAAAATAAAACAATGCAAAGAGATGCAAGTTATAAGTGTCCAGACTTGAATGTTATCTGCACTATTGGGGCAATATATTATTAACTGCATCATCAAAAATGAAATGTAATTGGTTGCAGTTAGTTACTAATATCCATTACCTGTAAGGGAATACACTACATGAGTTGGCAACAGTCCACATGACATAAATAATGAAAGGTAACTCCATTGGATATTACTTTTTATAAAGGATGTAGAGGCTTAAGTATACAATTAGCTTATGTTTTGAGTATGAGAAATATGTCTTATAATGATCTGAAATGATTCACATTGTTCAGTGATAATGATTTCTATGTTTGAATTAATGAAAGTATGTGTTTTCTCAGGTAATTCCCCTTCAATTCATATTTGGGATGCTATGACCAAACAGACGCAATCTGTGCTCCGCTGTTACTATTCAAAGGGGGTCTGTTCTGTCAGCTTTAGTGCCACAGGCAAACTCCTGCTCTCAGTGGGGCTGGATCCAGAATATATCATCACTGTCTGGAGATGGCAGGAAGGTAAGGTGATCAAAGGAGATAACACACAAATGTTAAAAGTATTTAGAGTGAAGACTTGATTCCCTCTTTTAAAAAAAAAAGAAACATTTATATTAAAATACAAAAGGCATTTATCTAGTGGGAAAACATTTTTTTTGTTTTCCAGGTGCCAAAGTTGCTGGTCAAACAGGTCACACCAAGAGAATTTTTGTTGCGGAATTCAGGCCAGATTCAGACACCCAGTTTGTATCAGTGGGTGTCAAACATGTACGGTTTTGGACCCTAGCTGGCAAAGCTTTGGAAAGCAAAAAAGGCAACCTAAGTTCAATTGAGGATGCCAGGATGCAAACCATGCTTGCGGTAGCTTTTGGAGCTGTAAGTACACTTAACTAAAATTAGTATGATATTTCTTTCATAGGCACTTGCTAGGACTAGTGTGCTCATTGCAATGGCTAGGCAACTATAACAATAAATTCACTGCATTTAGCATTTAGCTCATCCAATTTTCTCTAATTACTATACTGATAGGGATGGTTAGGGGTTGGAGGATGCCAAATAAATTTAGCATTGTTTTGCTAATACTAAATCATTTCAAATATAATTTATATTTAAATTATATTTGAAATGATTTAGTATTAGAAAAACAAAAAAATTAAACAAAAAAGTCCTAATCGGACAGGTGCTGAATGTATAGATACCAGATGCACATATTGTTAAGAGTGCTATCATTTTATTCACTTCCAGAATAATCTGACATTTACGGGTACTATCAGTGGAGATGTTTGTGTTTGGAAGGAACATCTTTTAGTTCGAATTGTGGCCAAAGCTCACAATGGTCCTGTTTTCACTATGTACACAACATTAAAAGATGGCTTGATAGTAACAGGAGGAAAAGAAAGACCGTGAGTAAATTAACAACTGATATTTCAATTGTAATCCAAGAATGCCCAATAATCTTTAAAATTACAATTATGGAAATTTACGTTTTTTATTATATGCATAATTTAAATCATTAAATACATGGAAAAATCAACATTAGTAAATGAATTGTCATAAATCACAAGCACAATGTGAATAGGTAAATGTAACCGTTAAAAGTATAGGTAAATGTTGTATTTTGTTTACTAAAGTTTAAAAAAAACAGGAAAACTACTCAGTTTAAATGCTGTGTAATATATTTAACCATTTTTCATACAATTGAAGACTAATATATTGTAACAATATAAATAAAAGCTAGGTGATTCAGTCAAATATTTGGAAAAAGATATGTTTTGTGTTTGAATTGCAGAAGGAAATATGATTTAAGTATTTATGAAACCTAGATGGAGTGATTTTCATTTAGCAGGTCAAAGGAAGGAGGTGCCTTGAAACTGTGGGATCAGGAGCTAAAGCGTTGTCGTGCATTCAGATTAGAAACTGGACAGGTGATTGACTGTGTGCGTTCAGTCTGCAGAGGCAAGGTATGTGTCCCAAACTTATACATATATAGATTCAATTAGCTTGGAAGAGTGTTAGTTCTATCCAAATTAACATTTTTGTTTATGATTTTTTTTATTAAAAGGGGAAAATTTTAGTTGGAACAAGAAATGCAGAGATAATTGAGGTTGGTGAGAAGAATGCGGTATGCAACATTTTAATTAACAGTCACATGGATGGACCAATCTGGGGTCTTTCAGCTCATCCCACTAAAGATGTCTTTCTCTCTGCTGCAGAAGATGGACTGTTAGATTATGGGACATTGTTGAAAAGGTAAGGTTTTGTATTTGTAGGTGAACGTAACTAATTTACTCACAGAAGTGCCGCACAAACACCCATGAAATGAATGACTTTTTTTCTAGGGGATTGTTGGGCAGTACACTAGGAGAAACCCATTTCACTCTTTGAATAATGGCAGTTCTTTAACACCCACCTGAACACGCAGACAGCAACTTGGTTTTATGTCTTATCCAAAGGTTGGCACATCCGACAATGCAGCACTTCAAAACACAGTACTGAAGTGTCAGCCAAGACTATGAGCTCAATGTTTTGTTGCTGTGTAATCGTTAAAACTTTTGTAACCCATTACAAAATCCTATACAACTACTACAACAGAAAATATGAAATACTTTTTAAACATTCCTGACACAAATATATTTTTGATTGAATAACAGAAAATGTTGAATAAGGTAAATTTGGGCCATGCAGCTCGAACTGTAGTCTACAGTCCAGAGGGAGACATGGTAGCGATTGGTATGAAAAATGGAGAGTTCATTATACTTGTCGTCACATCACTGAAGATCTGGGGCAAAAAACGAGACCGAAGATCTGCCATTCAAGATATCAAGTGAGGAAAATACTCTTAAAAAAAATCTTGGCAGTTACTGTCCAAAACGTTTTGATTTATCTTTATTAAAGAACTGAAATCAGTTAACTGAATAGGCATTGCATGCAAAATTATATACTAAACCTAAACTGTCCATCTTCATTTTCACAATAACAAGATAATTATAAACTAACAGTATACTAATAGTTTTGTGTAATGTAGAACTATTTTGGAAGTGTTTTGATACATTAGTTTATAGGATTAATAATCTGTTCCCTGGAAGATCTATCTGATCTATTTGTCAACAAAGAATAGAGATAAATGCACAAGTAGCAATACAAGAACTAACAAGGCTTAAACATCTGGAATAAATGATGATAATTCAATAGGACTGAATGCCATGAGCAGACTAGTGTACAATTTGTGACTACTTGAAGCTGGTGGTGGTTGATGAAGAGAAATGTAGGGATTGGACCAGATCTGGACAAAAAGATAGCATTAATTTGAAAAGCTTGCTTCAATCAGACCTAACTAGAGATCGCATTTTGTTTTCAGAAACTCAGAAATAAGACAATTTTGCCATACTTCAGTACAACACTGGTTCACAATCTTGCTTTGATAATTCACCTTTTAAAAAGTCATCTGAAGTGTCTGAGTGAAGAGCTAAACATCTAACAACTGCATCACCTGACAAATTGGGATAACCTGGAGTTCATTCCAGGTTTATTCCTTTTTCAGAAACTATGGACTTGCCTGTGAATGAAAACTTGAACTCTCCATTGAAGGTTGTTACAATGAGGCATTTTAGAAGGTTAAATTGCAATTAACCTATAAATAAATGAAATTGTGAGTAATTGGGAAACTTCTTTTGCAAAGTCTGCAGCAGGAAAGCTTCCTCGAACAAATATGAAATACAATTTCTGCTTATTTTGCACTTTGGTGTAGAAAATTAGCTGAATTGAGCCAATAATCCCAACCTTTTAATTTGGGTCATCTATCGATGTTTTAATTTCTTTTCACCCAATTGTTCTCCCTTCTTGAAGTCAATGACTCACAGTTAGTAGTTAGACAGGAACCCTCTGGTACCTTGTCCAAACAACCATTCTTCATGAGTGAGTGAGTGAGTGTTGGCCAGTTATTTGATTGTAGGGTGGTTTCATAGCCGAGCCCAGTCCTGTCCTCCCCCAACATACAAACCCTAAAGTAGGAGTTTCAGACTAATTCTAATTTTTCACACATTTAATGTCTCCCTGTACAAAGTTGACCTAATGTGGAAATGTGTTAATGGTATTGATTGTACTGCATTAGAATGCTGGCTACACATTAAAACACGTTTAGAAATCTACTTTTTCTCTTATGTTATAATTAATTGTTAAAATCTTGTACAGGTTTAGTCCCAACTCTCATTTTTTGGCTGTGGGAACATGTGAGAATGCCGTAGACTTCTATGATCTCACATTGGGTCCAACACTAAATCGAATCAACTATTGTAGAGATATTCCCAGCTTTGTTATCCAATTGGACTTCTCAGCAGACAGCAAATATATCCAGGTATTCAGCAGTTTAGATATTTTAGCCTCAGAGTATACATTGCTGTAAGATTTTAAAGTCATGTTAATGTCATTGGCTGCAAATATCATGGAAATCAAGAAATGTTTAGTTGCATTTATATATTTTGATCAGTACGAAAGAACTTTAAAGTTATGATAGGATTACGACTGGTTAAATTAATTAAAGGAATTGGCTTTTATTAAGAGCCTACATAATTGAAATACTAAAAATATTAGTGTTGTGATGTATGAAGTGCTGTCTGAACTAGATGATGTATTTGCTATAAATCTTGTTCTTTGTGGCACGATATTTACAAAAAAAAACATAATTGGTGATATTTTTATATATCTGGTATGTTATGCAGTTAATCAAGCATATGCTGTTATTAGGCTTAAAATATCTAAGCACAAAAGAAGAAAAACACTAAATAATAGTTTTCAATATTGTTAACCGTGTAGTTAAATGCTATCTGTTTTGATACACGATTTCTCAGATTTCTACTGGTTCATACAAACGACTCGTGTATGAAGTGCCTTTAGGAAAACAAGTTTCTGAACAGTGTCAGATTGACCGAATAACTTGGGCCACTTGGACAAGGTGAAGTGAACTATTTAATTTACTCATCTTAAACCGTAAATGACCAATGTATAAGAAAAGCCACCAGTGCAGTGGTACTAGCACTCTTCTAGAATCCAGATTCATTTGCTTACACTTGATATAGCAGTTACATAAGAAGGTCTACTCCTGTCTCCAGTGAGGCCAGTCCTTTGCCACATTTTATTATTGTTGTTGGATGAATAACAACACAGATACATTACTTTAATAAACAAATAATAATAATCCTTGCATTTGATATAGTGCTTTCCACGTCTTCTAGACGTCTCAAAGCGCTTCACAGAATATGCTGTAAAGTGAATTGACTGTATGTTTGTGGGATGTTCTATAATGAATTTAGATAATTTTGAAATTAGGATGTTCTATATTGAAACAACAGGTTCCAAACAAAAATTATAAACTATTTTTATTTATATAGTAACATTTATATAAAAGAGCATCTAAAAGCATTTAATAATGTTGAGAAGGCAGATATTGGGCAAGAAGTGGGAGGACAATAGAATCGTTCAAAGATAACATTGAATGAATAGATATTTAGCTTTTTGAAAGGTGGGAGAGATATACCAAGACAACATGGGTTTGGTAGAAGATACATCAATGGTGACTGAAGGAAAAGTTTCATTGCCACAAACCGATAGTGTTTACTATATGGAGCAAACAAACTGCAAATAGGGAAAGAAAATTGGGGGTATGATTTTGCAAACGCTGAATCCTCGTCTTTCTTCCAGTATTCTAGGTGATGAGGTCATTGGTATCTGGTCTCGTAATTTGGATAAAGCTGATGTAAATTGTGGCTGTGTCTCTCATTCGGGCCTCAACATTGTAACAGGAGATGATTTTGGAATGGTGAAACTCTACGACTTTCCTTGCATTGAGAAATTTGTAAGTCTTTGTAAGTTTTTTTGATATATAACAAAGCATTCTAGTTGGCATATAAACATGTAAAGGTTTTTCATATTGCATACATTTTTTTTGTTTGCCATTCTACTATGGGTGCATTTGTTATGAGAACATTTTCATCAAATGACTTTGTAAGTAAAGACCAAACCAAATATTTTCCAGCCTCATCTCTGAAGTTGAATGCAGAAATCATATCCATGTATAATACTCAAGACAGAGTACCTATGAATTCCAGCATTTCAATTTTTTTCTCTGCAGGCAAAACACAAAAGATACTTGGGTCACTCTGCTCATATCACCAATGTAAGATTCACTAGCGGAGACAGATATGTCATCAGTGCTGGAGGAAAGGACTGCAGGTGAGTGGTGCAGTTGAAATGTTTTTCAGCTCAATGCTATAAACTAGCATTTCCTGTAAAAATGAAAGATGAATTGTAGTTTGCAAATGTCACAATCTATTGTTTTAACGAAGCACCTGATTTTTCTTTACTTACATTTCGCTCCCTCCTGCCCCCATCCCCCCATTGAAGTTTGTTCGTGTGGAAGTGTTCGTAGACAAACATGAAATGGAGTTTTGAACACGCACAAGAGATGGGAATCAAGAAATTCAATTCACACCAAAAACACTGAGAAGAAATGCTCCACATTCATATTGTTGGTTGAGAACAAGGCAACTGGCAACATTAGCAAGAGGAATTTGGAAGGTAGTTCACTTTCACAAATGTGAATTGAGAAACAAGTATTTTCAATCATTTTGGTCTATGGCAATTTGTCAGGTTTGCTACTACACAGCCATGTGTATATTGATTCAACTAAATGAATTTTAGCGCACACTTTAATTTCATTGTGTACAAAGTAAAAGTTGCTTTTTTGACCATTCTACAACTATGGTTCTGTGGTTGACAGAATTACTAAAGAATCATGTGGCAATGCCAGTGAAAGGGTTAATTGAGTTCTATCAATGCACAAAAAGCTAACTGTAATATACTGTATGTAAGCTGCTATGTATAACACACCTATTTAACTTAATATCTCCACAATGCTGTGCTGTAGCTGATGTGGCAATTAGCCTTAACCAAGACAGTTATATATTTTTAGTAAACTCATTGTGCTTTGCATTTTATTTTACAAAGTAATTGCAAAGCTAACAACAGAAATCTGAAATGAACAAAATAGTATTTAGTGGCCTTCTTCCTGGGCAGACCAGCTGAGTAATATTTGGACGTCAGTATAAAAGCTGAAGCCAGCTTGCCAAAGCATACTATGCACTACTGTACCAGTCACTGTGGCTATCTGAACAATTAAACTTTACTTCAGTGTAACAATTACAATTGGCTACCATTTTAATGTGAATCTGAAAGTGTTTGCAACTTTCAAAGGATTGTGATCCTGCAGATTAGGATTAAATAGCACTGTCGGTAGTATTTTTTAAAACCATAAATAGATGTTATTGCCTTAATCTGCACAGCATCCCAAGTCTTACTTTATACAAATTTCACAGGCTTACATGTAGTGCTAATGTCAGTGTTACATGTTAATTTGGACTTAGGTTGTATTTTTTTAAAACCCCAAATAAAAAGATGACAGTCTGGCAAAATATTAATACAGTATAATTTGGGTTTTACTTTGAGACTGGCCAAAGGAACTGCTGGTCCTTCACATTTTCCTACATAAAGTTAGTAATCAAACTATGCTTCTCCAGTTAGTGTAAAATAAACTAAAAACAAAGTATTTTGTTAATTAATGTCATGTTTAAGATGGTTTAAATGTTTTGAAATTGTAGTTTACTGTAAATATAATTTGTCTGTGCAACTATGAAAAAACACATTGAAATGACATATTTAATGTTTGGAAAAAATTGCAACTTGTTTAATTGTTATACAATTTCATGAAATTCTATTTTTGTATATCTGCTTTCCATTTCATATGTATGTTTGTGAAGTCAAAGTACTGAATACAGTTACTTTACGATTGTTCACTTGATTTTTTTGTACCTTCAATTGTAAGATTAAGGTATATGGAAACGGAATTGTAGATCTTTTACTGTCTGTAACCCGACAGTTTTAATAGTCTAACGTCCAAGAGAGTCTCTCAGCATGACCTTGCACAGGAAATTGTTTAAATTTTCATATCTGCATTGTGCCAGCTCTAGGAGTTGCACAGAAAAGCCAAAATTCTGCAGCAGCAAGAACTAGAAATAATTGTACTGTATGAAATACATCTGGAAATAATTCAGAATATTCTCAAGGACATTGTGTCGTCAACTTCTGGCCCTCGAGCATTAGCAGCATTTTTGACATGAAAAGAAAAAACAACTGACAGTTGAAATGCCATGATTCTGAATTCCTGTTTGATACTTCGGAATTTCTAAATTTAAATGCAAGTTAGACCTCAAGATTTGTGCATTTATGCAAATTAGATTGAAAGCAGGCATTTACTATCCACATTTTCTATTTAAAGCACAGAATGCAATTAACACCATAAAACTTCTAATGGCATGCAATTTGGGGCACTTCCACACAGGCTTCTAAAGAAGATGTAACTATTTTAGAAGTAGACTACCACAAAGGAAAGCCCAGGCTTGATTCTGAGCAAATGTGCAGATCAAACCAATGTAGGTCCCATAACAAGTTGCTCATCCATATTTATAGCTGAGGATTTAATGGTAGGTCTGACTAAAACTTTGAAGCAATGGTATGTCTTTGATTCAATCACAGGCAATTTTCAGCAAATCTCAAAAAAACATTTACGGTACAAGTGAAGTCAATCACAACAAATCTTTCTGTTTCTGAATGTAAACTAATTTCTGTCAAATTGTTGGATTTATCAGTGTTTTGAAATATGCAATACTTGTGTACTCTTAATTACTGTATCTATTTACAGAGTATTTTAATACCAGACATTAACAGGAATGACCACACATGGTGTAACATCTGAAAAATATGATTTTAAATCCATTTAGAACTATTACATGGTGGAAAAATGGTGTGAGTACAAGTACAGTTCTCTGTAGTGGTGGTGTAAGAAGCAATAAAACAGACTAATCCATTAAAAATATTCTTGATCAACTGTTTTACTGTGTTTTTTATCAAGAAGTAATTTCTACAAATGGAGCACTTTGTTAAATTATGGTATTTGTCAGTTATGGGTATTCTATCATCAAGTAGAAAACCATCTGCTTTATAACAGCACAAAAACAAAATACAAAATGGCTCTCACAAAGGGGACCAGAGCAATGTTAGCCTCTAAGTTATGGGGAAACTAATCAGTCAATTTGAGAAAAAATTAACTCTGTTTTGTTAACATTAAACTTTAGCAATATTGAAAGACAAAATAAGGATCTGCAAATTGCTACGCCTTCACATTTGCACGGTTCTCGATTCCACAATGACGTGTGTGCACCAAACACATCATTCACTGAAAAAAAAGCAGGGAAAAATACAATTAACCTGATGTTTTATGATTAGCATTCATTATGCTATGGTAAATCTGCAGCGAGCTTAACCATTCAATCAAACTCAATTACAAATGTTTCAAAATGCTCAGAAATGCAATCAAGCATTGTGTCGCGTTCTCCAACAACAAATGTTCTTGCAGGTTCTTAACAAACCTTACAGAATTCACGACCAGGCTTTGATTACCTATTCTGCTGAGACCTTGTCCATTTTAGTGCATGGCGTGGAGGTAATGTAACGACGGGGTGATAGAATGTGCAGTCAGCTCTCTTGCAGTGGGTGCCGAACCGACAAGGCTGGGAATGACAACAGCAAATTTAGCGTTATTTGCACTCCTCAAAATAATAATAGTGTGCGACAGTATACACTCATCGACCTTGCTCATTTTAAAAAATGTTGGTGCATACCTTTGGATGAATAAAGGGGCACTCCACCTTTTTGCATTCGGGAAAGAAACGACACAAAGAACTTCCTGAACTTATCACAGCTGCTGAACAAACAGACACAGATTTCACATCGCAAGTCACAATCAAAGCAAATAAATGTTAAACCTATGCATAAAAATAAGCAATCATTGCTCGACTGCAGTAGAACATTTTAGATGTTAAGTCCCAAAATATTCTGTAGTATTTCTGTGATAGACATCATCCTGTACACACACACAAAATGATTGGTGACACTCGAAGAAGGAAGAATAATCAGAAATAAAACAGCAACATTGCTGTCTCACATCTGAAGAGTACTAACCAGGTAATAAAAAAACATTTCAATATACAAATCACACAGTACATTTGTTAAAACAGAAATCCTACACTGCAAAGCTTCATTTACATCAATATGTTGAGATGGAAGTCTTTTTTACTGTACAAACCTGGCTGTTTTAGCAATGGCTGACTCCGTCTGCTTGCATGGGTGTACGGACAATCTGGTCTCGTACACTTGGAGTCGTACTTGCAATTGGGATGGATAAAGAGGCATTTATCCCCAAACTTGCAGTTTGGAAAGGTTCTGCAAAAAGACAAAATTATATTAAGGAACTACACCGAGGGAACATCAATGTGGGTAAACATTTTTTTTAAACTTCCCCTTCCTAAAGTCCATTAAGTTACTCAATTTTAAAATGAAATCTAAAATAATGGGGAGACTGGAAAAATTATCTTTCTCTGAAAATTCTCTTCTCTTCAAATAAATCCTAAAATTAATAAGCAGATATAAATGTATGTCAGCACATTCTTCAATGCAAACTCATTTCTATGATTGTATTGAAAATATACCAAAAAACAATGCTCAGCAAACCATCTTAGAAAAACCTTATAAAACTTAGCTACACGCATCTAAGGTCGGTACTCACTTGCATGAGGCGATAGGATGATGATACATGCACTCATCGCCATTTTTGCATGCAGGCCAATATTTGCATCGCTCTGCGACCTTCTGACGCTTTGGTTGAAAAGAGTCCTCATCAATCTCTTCTGATGCAGAAGATAAAGAGGATACGTTTTAATATATTCAGCGCACATCGATTGGATTTCTCTGATGTAAAGTCAGTCGGTGTCTGACACACCAAAAGGATTAGGACTCTCACAAAATGATTATTTTAGAAAGAAAGCAAGATATAAGACACAACAATTACCATCAAACTCCTTCAGTGGTCGAGTCACAGTTTGTATTGGTAATCTGTATTCCCTTCCTGCCTCCTGTTCCAAAGGTTCGGTCTCTTCCTCTTGCTCTGAAACATATCCAGGAGGACTTGGAATGCCATCCAGTGTCACAATAAACTTGGGACTCGATTCCTCAGGTTCATTTTGATCTCTACAATGAGAAGATTTTTTTTTAAATGCAGCTATCACAAAAATATTAAAAAGGGAAATGGTTTAATCTAACTGATTAAATTCTAAAGAGGGAAAGTACGAAGATTACCCATCCTACTTTCCAGACTTGCTTTGTAAAACATGACACCAAAAGCGAGCTTCTCCGCCCACAAATCCTGCTGCAGAGGTACAGAATCCTGACATAGCTTCTGCAAGGACTGACTGAACTAAGTTTTACAGGACTGGACATACCACACAGTTGGACCTTATTTACAACCCTTCCAACACATCACTTTTATTTACTGATAGGATTGGATTTTATTAACCAATCTTTAAATCTGCAGCATCGAGGAATAATTTGGAGACCTTTTTGATTGACTGTAATTGAACAAAATATCAAAGCCATTGTTAAACCTACATTAATTACTCCACGAATGTGCTACTTACTTGGTTTGTATGACACGGGCTTGTTCTGCTGACGCAGCTTCCGGGCAAATTGTCTCTTTCACTTGGAGCTGTGGTTCCACTTCCTCCAGCACAGACTTCTTCAGGATGAAAGATCTGGTATCACAACTTATTCTGGTTTCTATAGGTTTCACTGGAAATTTGAAACAAAGTAGATATTTTCCAGTTTTAAACCAATTAAACCTATTGATAGCCCTGAACATAAGTTAGTGTGTGGGTAAAGTAAAATCACTGAGCATGCATAGAATAGAGAAATACGCTTGTCCTATTACTTTTCTTTAAAAAAAGGTAAGAATCAGGGTTGCCGATGGTTAGAAACAAAGTCCAGTATTAATAATACTAATCCTTGCGTTTGATATAGAGCTTTTCATGTTTTCTAGACTTCTCAAACCGCTTCACAGAATAATAATAATAATAATAATCCTTGCATTTGATATAGCGCTTTTCACGTCGGGAGGATGTCCCAAAGCGCTTCACAGAACATACTGTAAAGTGAATTGATTGTATATTTGTGGGTAAAATGCAGCAGCCAATTACGCACAGCAATGTCCCACAAACAGTCGTGGAATGAAGTGACCAATTTACTATTTTTTTTCTTGAGGGATTATTATTAAGCGCGTGGAGTAATGAAACTTGCCCAAGGTTTTGCCCTGCCGGGAATCGAACCCAGGTCTCTAACTTGCAAGACGAGTGCTCTTACCACCGAGTTGCAGGACTCCACATGACTTAAATATGACAGGTCTTAATTGAATAATACCTCCTGGCAAAGGATTACTGATGGAATGATATCCCAACACTACTTCATTAACTTTAAGACGGAATAGGAATAAAAAGGTTGTAAAAAGCTCTATCTATTCAAACAAAGAACCAATCGGTTCTAAATTACAAAGCCCAAGTCTGATCCAAATTAAACCACACACTCACTTTCACTAACATTTAGTTACTTTACTCTTGGTTGGTAGAGCCTTGAGACATGTTGTTGTTGTTGTTGTTGTAGCCTATCATCCCACAAATAATGTAAAATTAATTTCATTCTTACAATAATGCTTTTGTACAAGCTGTTCATCCACATCGATCTGGAGTGGTGAGCCAGGCTGCTGTGGTTTATCTTCTACCTCAATCACTTTCACTTCAGTGTCTTGTTGTGCACGGGTTCGAGGAGCCACAGGAACAGTCTGCTTCACAAACACTTGAAACAAAATAAAAAGCCACACTTACAAACGAGACAATTATAATTTAATAATTTTAGATATTTCAAGCATCAAATACATTATCCACAGAAGAACTAAATCACTTGAGATGTCCTCCTGACATGAAAGGCGCTAAACAAATTTTGTATTGATGATTTTGTGGGTTATAATGAATTTCTAAAGGGAGTATTCCACTGAAGCTTGTGCGCCTTATACTGAATTGCCCCATAAACAGTGTATTAGTAAAGCTGGTGGTATATATTACAAACACTGGGTTCATTTAAGAACAGAAACATGCTACAATGGGAAGATGGTTGGCATTTTGGAAGGTGACATTTTCTTTGATTCATACCATGTTCCATGTCAAAAATCTAGACAGTGAGTTTCATGGCTTTCCTTTTGACTCTATCGTAACTATATCTAAAATTTGCTGTTATGTTTTAGAGAACAATGGGAGATGGAAAAACATCTCCATTGATTGATTCAATTATCTTTCAGATTTGCAAATTACCAGTGGTATACTATTTCACTCATTTCTAGTCTCATTTTAATATTCCAGACTTCCTGATACAAAATGGAAAAGTGCTATGAATCACAAAATAGTATATCATCAACAACCAGCTCACCAAACAGAGGGCTGTCTACATAATAGTTCAACAAAATATATACCCTAAATAGCTTACAGCAAAGAAAGAAGCCATTCAGCATTTGGGATCTACATTTTCCTTCTTTCCCTTTACCCTTTCATCTTGTTGCTCTTCAACTGCCTATCCAATTCTCTTTCAAATTCTTTGCTAGAACTAGTGGCTTTGCCTAGTGTGTCTCCTCAGAGCCAATTTAGCCCCACGGAGATCATACTTTAGTTCAGCTTTAGAGCAAACAAAAAAGGATTCTAATATCACAGTCTGAATATCGTTCAACACAATCGTAAATACAAAAAAAGCACTCACTGACTGATATACAAGTCTACATTACCTTGTGGATAGTTTGTTGTGTTGCACACAGACTTTTGGGCCTCTGTGATTGCTTTCAGGATTAGATTCTTATTGGCCTGTTTGGAAGGTGGCAAAGTAGGCCTCAAGAACAAAGAAAACCAGTTAATTCAAGATGAGTTTCTTTCCAGGTCTTTTTGTTTAAAAATAAAATTTAAGCAAAGAAACCTCATTGCAGGCTATTAATCCAGTTGCGTAATGTCCAGAAATTCTGTAGGAAAGTCCATTTATTCACCCAATCCTGTCCTTCACTTTCCGTAACACCTTGAGCTAGGTGTGCTGACTATGTGTGAGCTATTTCCAGAGTAATTCTGTCTACATCATAACAGCAGAGTCTATGCTTAAACCTTTGCAGAAAAGACAACATCTGATTTGTGTAACTACTCTTTTTGTGTGAACACTGTGGGTCTATCAACATTTATTGTGGGTCTAACAATTATTAAAGAGGAATTCCAGGC